ATATCCAGTATTTGTGTAGAAGAGTAGATGAACCAGTTCAGCCCAGATACACGTAAGAAAACTACATAAACATAGAGGGCAAAATACCTCATCAACTTTCCATCATCTTCGTCAAATTCTTGCCTGTAATATAAAGCAAATCGGACCATTGTGATTATTTTCGTCGAGGATGAGGAGACCAGACACATTTACAGAACACAGCTGATAAAATACTCACGCTGCCCGTCTTTTGTTGGTGCCTTTCGGGACACCAGTCCCGCCGTTCGGGGTCCCACTTGCTCCCATACCCAGACTGTGGTCTGTTAAGTCTATTAATAACACAGCGAGGGACAGACTCAATAAAGCGCAGATGACAGGTGATTTCCTTTTGTGCTTAAAGCAGTGAAAGGGAAACCTAACCGCGTATAGGGCCCTAAACTTAAAAGTACAGCGAGCTACATGTTTGTTGGGCTGGAAGTTAACTCGAAAAGAAAGCAAAACCCTTTTATTGAGATCCTTAAGATGGCAGAGACAACGCGACGCATGGCTAGTCTCAGAGCTACAAACAACATTAAAAAAACATAACATCTGGAGCGAGTTAACTGAGAAATGCTTGACAGTTAGCCCTGTAATTTTTGTTATATTCCAAATCTATGGTTCGTACAAAAGTTAGAACATTCAATGTGTTATTTTAACATCCCAAAACTGAAGTTTAAAGGCACCAGCAGTCAGTTAACAATCAACTTCTTGTGTAACAACCAGCTAGGGTTATATTAGCATTAGCTCCAATGCTAAGCTAACTTAGCTTTTGCTGTCACGCATCTTTAGGCAAATGTTTACATAAAACAGCACTGATGGAAAAATAGCTAAAAATGGATTAACAGCGGCTCAGGAACGTAGGTTAACCGTCAACTTGAATTTGACCACTCCTTACCTGGATTTGAAGAGGACATATCCGCGTTGAACAACATAAACAAATAACTTCTTTCACAAGGGAAAAAAAAAATCCTCGAACTCTCCACCCTCCCTCCGCCTGGCTAAGCTAGCTTCGGACCGACAAGTGCAGATTTCCAAGCGCACTCTCCCTTTTTTCCTGAGAAAGGCTCACAGCCATAACTGACGCTACTTCGGAGCTATGAGAAAGATTCACACACTATCACAACCTAATTATTAATCCCTGTCACAGCCCCCGTTTTCCTGTCTTCAACCCGTTTAAACCCCCCTTTCCAAGTAAGATGGCGTTTCCGAGCTAAAACTCTCAGACTGTATTTCTTTCTCAGCTTTCTATTGGACATGAGGCAGACAGATACTAGTGACGCGATGGCTTCACCCTTTTTTTATTGGACATGAGTCACAGAGTTACTAGAGACGAGTTGGCTTCAACCTATTTTTATTGGACATGAGTCAAATAGATACTAGTGACGCTTTGGCTTCAACCTTTTTTTTATTGGACACGAACTAGTAGCATACCAATTACGTATATATCTGGGAAACCCACATATTTATTCTTCTTCATTAACTCTGGCAGTGGAGGTGGGACATGCAGGTCTGTGACTGTGTGTCAAGGTCTTGGGTTCTTTTGTTTCTAAAACCAGTGAGCAGATTATCAACTGTGTTTTCTCTGAAATGACCTAAGAGCAGCGAACGAGTACAAAAGCACAGAAAATTATTAACTTAAAATTTTTTGTTTGGTAAAAAGATACATGTCTCACAAATATGATAGTATTTTGCCTTTTTGTCATGCTGCCACTCCTAACTTCTTTTTATGTATTGGAATTTTATGTGATAGAGTAACACAAAATAAGTGGAAGAGAAAGGATCCATTATATATTTTTTAACAAATATAATTCAAAGCATTACGTTAACATGCCATCTCCAGATCTGTCTTATTTCAGGATGTTGCTTTTTAAGTATTGGGTTTAGGACAGGGTGCACAAAACTGATTTTTCATGGAACTAGTTACTTTAGTTTTCATATAGGTCTCGGCGGTGGGTGGTGCAAAGAACGACATATTTGCAATGGTTAGAGAAATCTATAAAGCTGAAGCAGGAAAGCAGGAGAGAAATGCAGAAGAAGAAGTTAAAAAATAGGGGTTGCAAAATGTAAGTTAAAACAAGTAACTGATCAATTTGTTCAATATCTTCAGTCTGATCAGGATTAGAGCTTAGAAATAAATGCACAGGAGGGAAATCAACACACCTCCACCTTCATTATCATCAGAGGTTTCAAGTAACAAAGCACAAATTCTTCATTACCTTTCTTAAGTTTTGGCTATCTACTTTACTGGTTTAATTATTTTTTTTTAACACATTTTTACTTCTTGCATTTTTTTTTTGCATTTTTCTCTTATTTTCTACTCTTTACATAAAAAAAAAAAAGACTTACCGGTAGTTTCATTTTAGCTCATTTTTTTATGGCTCGGTATTTAAAAAAAATAAAACCATCAAAACACTTTGTTTCATCCAGACAATTAATTACTTTGTAGTTGGACTCTGTACTAAACCAACTTGTTCGCCATGTACCAAAAATAAAGTCTTTCAAGATGATGCACAGTTAAATTAGTCAACTATAGAAACTATCCCTTTAATAGGGTAGTGCATTATAAGATTTAGAGCTTGTCCTTACTTTTTTTTTACTTTGTTTTAAAAATGGTACTTTTACTTGATCAAACTGCTTAAGTTGATACTCTAACTTCAACAAAGGGGTTTTAAACAGTAGCATGTATACTTCTGCTTGAGAAATAAACAAAGACTTTTGACAGCTCTGATTAACATCCTTTGCCTGCCTTTTCCTGGATTGCACTTTATTTCAAGATCATGAAAGAATACAGGTGCTGGTCATAAAATTAGAATATCATGAAAAAGTAGATTGATTTCAGTAATTCCATTTAAAAAGTGAAACTTGTATATTATATTCATACATTACATACAAACTCATATATTTCAGATGTTTATTTTGTTTAATTTTGATGATTACAAATGACAACAAATGAAAATCTCAAATTCATCATATCAGAAAATTAGAATATTACTGAAGACCAATAAAAACAAAGGATTTATAGAAATGTTGGCCAACTGAAAAGTATGAACATGAAAAGTATGAGCATGTACAGCACTCAGTATTTAGTTGGGCCTCCTTTGGCCTGTATTACTGCAGCAATGCGGCGTGGCATGGAGTCGATCAGTCTGTGGCACTGCTCAGGTGTTATGATAGCCCAGGTTGCTCTAATAGTGGCTTTTAGCTCTTCTGAATTGTTGGGTCTGGTGTATTGCATCTTCTTCTTCACAATACCCCATAGATTTTCTATGGGGTTAAGGTCAGGAGAGTTTGCTGGCCAATTAAGAACAGGGATACCATGGTCCTTCAACCAGGTACTGGTAGCTTTGGCACTGTGTGCAGGTGCCAAGTCCTGTTGGAAAATGAAATCTGCATCTCCAAAAAGTTGGTCAGCTGCAGGAAGCATGAAGTGCTCTAAAACTTCCTGGTATGTGGCTGCGTTGACCCTGGACCTCAGAAAACACAATGGACCAACACCAGCAGATGACATGGCACCCCCAAACCATCACTGACTGTGGAAACTTTACACTGGACTTCAAGCAACGTGGATGAAGTGCCTCTCTTCTTTTCCTCCAGACTCTGGGACCTTGATTTCCAAAGGAAATGCAAAATTTACTTTCATCAGAGAACATGACTTTGGACCACTCACCAGCAGTCCAGTCCTGTTTCTCTTTAGCCCAGGCAAGACGCTTGTGACGCTGTCTGTGGTTCAAGAGTGGCTTGACACAAGGAATGCGACAGCAGAAACCCATGTCTTTCATACGTCTGTGTGTGGTGGTTCTTGAAGCACTCACTCCAGCTGCAGTCCACTCTTTGTGAATCTCCCCCACATTTTTGAATGGGTTTTGTTTCACAATCCTCTCCAGGGTGCGGTTATCTCTCTTGCTTGTACACTTTTTTCGACCACATCTTTTCCTTCCCTTCGCCTCTCTATTAATGTGCTTGGACACTGAGCTCTGTGAACAGCCAGCCTCTTTAGCGATGACCTTTTGTGTCTTGCCCTCCTTGTGCAAGGTGTCGATGGTCGTCTTTTGGACAACTGTCAAGTCAGCAGTCTTCCCCATGATTGTGTAGCCTATAGAACTAGACTGAAAGACCATTTAAAGGCTTTTGCAGGTGGTTTGAGTTAATTAGCTGATTAGAGTGTGGCACCAGGGGCCATCAATTTTGAACCTTTTCACAATATTCTAATTTTCTGATATGATGAATTTGAGATTTTCATTTGTTGTCATTTGTAATCATCAAAATTAAACAAAATAAACATCTGAAATATATGAGTTTGTATGTAATGTATGAATATAATATACAAGTTTCACTTTTTAAATGGAATTACTGAAATCAATCTACTTTTTCATGATATTCTAATTTTATGACCAGCACCTGTATAAAACAGAATAAGGTTCTAGGCTATCGCACAAGTTTCTTTATAGCAGAAAAAGTCAGATCTTGATCATAAAAATTAAGAAAAATACATAATTGGGAATGCAACAATTAAACAATGATCTTCTGTAAATTAAAGCTGCAGGCTGACTGAGGCCTAGAGTTTAAGATGTAGTGCTCACGTTTTAGCATTTTTCTGGGCAATGCTTGATGTAGTTACAGGAACTTTCACACATTGCACTTTTTATCCTCATACTTCTCTTAGAGGAAAATTGAAGACTTAGATTTGTTTGCCTTTGAAACTCTCATTATGCTGCAGGCGATGCCGGTGCCTGTCCTGGCTAGAGCTAACTTTTGTAAACTACAATTCAAAGCAAACTTTGACAGAGTATCTGTAATACTGTGAGTGTTTTAAAATCAGTACAGAAAACTTAACATATAAAAAAAATCCTTACCAGGAGTGCTAATAAATATAGCCCAGTCTTAAACACAGACAAAAATTAACAAAGAGTAATATTAGCTTTGATATGTAAGTGGGAGGTGTGTAGACTCATTCTTCAGACGCAGACAGAAACTCAAAAATGTTTTCTTTGTGATTCATGACGTTTATCATAATTAACAGTATTTATGCATCATTACCTCAAAGAAAGTACAAAATAAAAAATATAACACTGTAATCAGGCCACGGATGTTTCTTCCACATCATGTTTGCTGGTTGGTCGGGATTAGTCGTAGTGGAATGAGTGAGTTTGAGGAGAGAGTCATGATTAGTGAGGGAAAGCGATGGATGAATTGGTGGGAGGTTGTGTTTGGGCTTCAGAAATAAAGGAGAGAACATGAAGACGGGAGAAATCCTCGTTCGTTACAATTAAGGCACTTGACGTTCAAATACACAAAAGCATGACAGCACAGGTGAGAGACTACAAATAAGAACTAAAAAAAAAAAAATCAGATCAATTTCTTTCAAAAAAACATTATAAACATAAATGTAAACCCCATGTCAGACAGAATCATTATTATTCTGACAGAATCATAATTATTCATTTAGATCCAACACTTTTCATTTCTCCTACAGGTTAATGATCTTAACCTTAGCTGTTTGGCAGTGACATAAAAAAAAAATCTTGGCATTTCAGATTTCATTCTGCAGAACTTTCACTTAGAGACCGATCCTCTGGTCGAATATGCAGAGTCCTCAGTGTTCAGTGGGTGGAGTTATCTGTGATAACTGAGTCTGAAACACTGCTGTGATTTCTCAATCACTGGTGCCCATTTTTAACTGTTGCTCAAACTTTTTCTCAAAAAGTAAACATGAACTTCGCCTTTAACAGATGAGACGTCACTTCTAGGAGGAATTGTACAAATACTGAACAGAAGTGAGACTATTTCTTTAAAAAGAGAAATCAGAATACTTTATAAATGGCACAAGGCTGCACTGACAGTAAAATATGCCTTTGTATTTTTGTGCAAAAATGTCATAATAGCAAACGGAAATATTATTGCATAGACAAAGAAATGCCCCAGTATCTAATAACCTGTGGTCATAAAAGTAGTTTTCGATTTGTTTTGATCTCTACAGAACAAAGCAAGAACAAAAAAAGAAAAAACATAAAAAAATGTAAGAAAGCAGCAGTTTTAAAGCAGGAAGCCATAACATGGCTTTTTGGCAGCTACCAGCTGGCTCTAAGGCACAAAGTTAAAACATGAAAGCTAAAGTAGAAGCAGCAGCATCTCCCCTTCTGTCTCTCCTCCACACCTGGAACCTCTTCATGTTCTCTCCTCCCTTGCTGGAAGTTTTGTTGGACTAACATCTATCGAACACGATGATACATTTTTTACCCCCCCCCCCCCCCTTCTTGTGACATAGCGAAAGCAGTGCCACTTAGTGTAGTGTTGATCTTGATATCCATGTTCCTTTAAAGTTTGACTGAGCATGTGTGGGTTTGTGTTAAAGTAACAGTGTTGAACCTCCTAGTTTTAGGGAATGCCTCCCATCCACATTCACATCCCATCTTCTCGTAGTCCTTTTTGACCACGAGTCCTCCTGGCTTTATTTTCCGCTCACGCATGTCTGCATTCACTCTGTCTTCCTGTGGTTGTTGTTGTGGACTGTGAAGCCATTCTGCACGGGACCGTTTTTCTTTGCATGCTTTTTATCGTCTGCCTCTTCTTCATCTTCTTCTGATTCATCCGTTTCATCTTTGTCGCTCCGGTCATCATCCACTTTTTCCTGCGGGAAGAAAAAAAAAAGACTTGATGATGGATTGCAATTGAAGATGTTGCACTGAGGCTGTAGAGGGAAAAATAACAAACAACAATATAATCCGGCACCATTAAAGTAGCTCTGTATTTAAAGAAGAGAATATTTTAACTATGACAGTAAACTGACACTGGAAACTGTTTGCTTTAAAAAGCCTAGAAAGGATTCTTATTTAAACTGAGGCTGCATTGATAAAGGGAGGTGTATTGAATTAAACTTCTTCGTATTCTGGGGCAAGAATATAACAATTTTATATGCTTCCATAAATGTTACAACTATTGACATACATCCTTTATTTCATTTATCAATACCTCTCCAAGCTTTCAGTAAGTCTTTTCTTTCTCTTTGAACTTTTGCTATTTTGTAGGCAATTAACATGCAGTAGTGCAAACTCCTGTGAAGAAACCTAGCCTTTATCATTTAGTATTGGCTAAGTATAAGCCTGTTTCTAAACTGACATACATAAAAAAAATTAAGATAGTTGTTAGAATTCTTATTGGCTGAAAATAACATCTTTTAATCTGGTTTTAAAACCTCCAATGGTCCCGAATCAGCATTATTAACATTTAGTTTTTGGCATGTGATTTTGGTGACCATGCTGCTAGACCTAAAAAAAAAAACTCTAAATCATGTCACAGATTCTGCATCAAACTGACAACACCAAACCAAAACCCTGCAAAATTGCACCATATATTTAATTCTCCAAACTTCCAGATTAATGTGTTGTTGTTTTTTTTTCACCATGTTCATTTCTCCCACTTTGTTTACATTTGATCACTGTTGCACTGTAGGACATGGAAATGTCATGAGAACTGTACAAAACAAAATTGAAAAGTTTTGAAAAAAAAGTTGTGTAAGTCTAACAGCTGATTTTCACACTGGGGACCACAACATTTTAAAGGAAAACACTGTTTTTTGTTTTTTTTTACATTTGGCCCTTGATTTGACGTTATTACATCATGTTCTACTCACCCATATACGCTCCGCTTTGTTTTTAAAAGATAAATATAAAAAATATAACTGCAGATGTCTGACGGACAGTGATTCGCCTAAATGTTATGAATGCTGGCGTACCATAAATTATCAATTATGAATAGTTCAGTTTGTGCCTTCAAGTCAGGAAGACGTTACTTGGATATAACCTAACCGAATATCTTCAGAACAGCTCCAAATGAGACAAAACTCATATGGGTGAGTAGAACATGATGTAGTAACGTAAAATCAAGAGACAAATGTAAAAAAAAAAAATGGCGTTTTCCTTTAATATTTCACTTTTAATGTCTAAATCATTTAGCATGCATTTAGCACACCACTCTTAATGGTTCTAGATCTTATCTGGCTGACTGATCATTCTGTCTCAAAATTCAGGACACTGAATCTTCCTTCACCCTTGGGGTCCCACAGGGCTCAATTTAGGGCCTCCCCTTTTTTAACCTTTACTTATTGGCAATAAGCTTGATACTAAGAAAATATTGGACTACTTTCCATTTCTAGGCTGACAATTGTCAGATCCATTAGCCCTTAAAGCAGGCCGGCCTTTCTACCAAAGCCTCATTTGGATTGATTGGAGGACATTAAAGCTTGGTTGGCCCTAAACTTTTTAAATTTAAATGAAAAGAAAACAGAGCTGATAGCCCTGTGAGTCCACCAATGTTGATTTGGGATCAGTTTAGTTTAAAACCATTCACTAATTTGGGTTTTATTTTATCTAATCATTCATTGTTCTTATACTTTAGTATATTTCTGGTCTATTAATGTATGTTTATTCTTAGCAGCTATTTGCAGCAGTACTATATTTTTCTTTGCTGTGTTATTTTTAAAGTGATCTATAAATAACACTGCTATGGTACTGGTATTTTCTGTTCTGTTTCTAAACATTTTCACAAGAACATTTTACGTCCTTATCGATTTGAATCGGTTAGGCATAAAAAGGCTTCAAATCACAAGAGTTAGACTAAAGTCCACGAGGCAAAATTTAAATTTCTATAACTTGAATAGGATAAATACTTATGATTACAGATTCAGTAAGCATTTTAAGGTATTTTAATATTATCGAGATGATTCTTAAAGCACTTCAAATAATCAAAACATGTCATGTAATAAATTAAGCAATGATGTAGTTTCTTCTTTGGACTTTTAGATCCCATCTATTAGCTTTAGGCCCCGTCCACACGAAGTCAAACCCTGGCCTAAACGCACAAATTTTTCACCAAACCAGCCTCTCATCCATACGAAGCCGGCGTTTCGGGGGTCTGTAAACGATCTTTTTTTTATTAAGCCCTCAGAGTGGGAAGATTTTGAAACGCCGTTTTCGCGGTTTCATCTTTAAGCTCTAACCGCATTTTTTTTCTTACATGCATGCGTCATAGCGTCGCCTCTAAACACGCATGCGCGACACAGTATCACAACAACAATGGCGCCGTACTGTGTTGAATGGTTGCTGCTCATGCTACTCACCCGGCTGTCGGGCTTACAACAGAATCTTCTTCTTCTGGAATATCTCCAGGAAGAACAGAGCAATATAGACGACATAGTTCAGCACCTGAATTTGACTGAACCACGAAAATGGACCCACAGGGGTTTTCCGGTTTGGTTGTTGTATAAATATTACTGCGCATGCCCAACATTTCGTTGCCTGTTTTCGCCTATTTTTGCTTTGGCACCACAGCGCCACTTACAGGCCTGGCATACATTTTGCAGCGTTTTCATGCATTCGTGTGGACGATCACATTTATTTTACGTCTCCGTCTTTACGACAAACGTTCTGGAAAATATTAGCATTTCGTGTTTGTTTTGACTTCGTGTGGACGGGGCCTTATATTGTTTGGTCTACATTCCCTTTACTTCCCTTCACCTGCCCTCTTTCCTCCATAAATTAGATGCTAATTCTACTGTTCTCTGTGTTCAAAAGGAGTGGACAACAAAGCTGAAGAAAACCAGCCTTTTACTCAAAAGTAGACTTCTAAAGACCACCAGAAGAACTATGGATTGTTATTGGTGGATTCAACTTTTGCACAGAGCAATGTATCATGACATAATGAGAAATTCCAAACCATAACAAACCTAATTTTACAGTACAGGGAATTTAATTTATAAATTTATTTGATAATCCTAATGCTATGATCTGTCTGACCTGTTCTTTTGTGTCCAGAAGCAAAAGGAAGCACCTCTAACAGAGCCTTTTTCCTAAGCCAGGCTGTGCAACAATAAGAGAGAAGTGACGACAGCACTATGTGCTCAGCTTCTTCCTCTATGCTGGCTCTATCTTGTGATTATGATCTGACTGCCTCTGCCTTAGAAGTGAATTGGCTTTAAAAAACAGCCTTTTGGCAGCAAAAAAGTCAAACAGAGCTGGGAGGCAGAGAGAAGCTACTATCCCATCTTGAATGGACATGTAGAAGCCCTTGGCACATTCCATTTACACAACAGCTTCACACAGCACAATAAAGCAGGAAGCCGTCAGCGGTATCCACCACATAGTGCTCGCTTTACTAAAAGTCATTAGCTTTGCTTTTAATGCATTTGAAGTTTTCATTATCTCACAGTGTAATGATAATAAACACTTCACCACATAGCCATGGAAGCTCAAGGCTGAATGTAACACTTTATCTAATACACTCACATACAATTTATGCAAACACAAAAAATGGACGGATTTTGGAACACTCTCCTTATTAGAAATAATAGATCTAATTTCAGTTAGCTGATTTCCTGTGGTGGACACAGCATTACCGAGGACTTAAAAAGCCCTAAGTTCAGGGCTCTGTATTTTGGATGATTGTACTTCAGGTGGAACCAATGTTTAAACCCAGATAAAGGGGATTTGTTATAAGGCTCAGGGAAGTCTTAAGAGGACTGGAAGAGGAATGAAAATCAAAGTCATCAATTAGTGAAGTGACTTTTACATAAATATGGACAGAAAAAGAAAATATATAGAAAGAAGGCCATGGTCACACAAGAAATAGGTTCAAAAGCCTCACTCCTCAGAGCACACTAAGGTCTCTAATTGCCAAGCAGGGTTGCGGTAGCATCTTACTGAGCTTCAGTTTTCCTGCTATTGGCATTGGAGGATGAAGTGGGAGGATTAATACAAACAGAGGAAACCTCCATTTTGTTCATCAGCCTCATCCTTGTTCATTTTCTCCCAGTTGGGTGAATCCAAACACTTTCACTAAATAAAAGCAGTAGTAGAATGGGAGGAAGATCGTTTAGTTATCAGGCTCCTCTCCTGTGGAACCAACTACCAGTTTTAGTCCGTGAGGCAGACACCCTGTCTACTTTTAAGGGTAGGCTTAAAAAGTTCCTTTTTAGCTTATAGTTAGAGTGGCTCAGGTTATCCTGAGCTATCTCTATAGTTATGCTGCTATAGGCTTAGACTGCTGGAGGACATAGGGACCCCTTTTTCATCTTTCTGCTTCATTCCATCTCTATTCTCCCACTCTGCAGAATTTGTTAATTCAATCTCTAATGTTATGCTTTCTCAGTTTTTTTTCATAGTAGCTTCATGTGCTCTGCTCCTGTTTGGCCGTGACACCATCCTGGAGAGAAATATCAGCTGTGCTGCTGCCATCAATGACTTTGTTTATAGATGTTGGAGCTTGGCCTGTTTTTCAGTGTAGTCCTGTTTCTCTGACTCTGACTAACTGTGTGTGCATTATTTCATTCTCTGATATGGGAGCTGGCTAGGAGCTCTGCCTGGGTGTGTGTTTCCTGGACAGGGCCGCTGTGGAGCTGGTTTACTGTTGCCTTTTGTATCTCTGCTTCTTTCTTTATCTCTGCTTCTGTCTCCTTGAACCTCAGTCGGTCTCGGCAGATGGCCGCTCACACTGAGCCTGGTTATGCTGTAGGTTTCTTCCTGTTAAAAGGGAGTTTTTCCTCTCCACTATCGCTAAAATCGTGCTTGGGGTGAGTGATTGCCTTTGAGTCAATGAGTCAATGCGATCAGCTGTTTTTCCTTATATAGAAAACTTTGAATCAATTTGACTGTATGATCTGGTTTAATTGTAAAGAGCGTTGAGATGACGTGTTGTGAATTGGCGCTATATAAATTCAGTGAAATGAATTTAATTTTCTTTTGCTTACGTTGTTGGTGAGGAAGCGGAGGGCTATGCGGATGATAAGAACTGCCCAGAAGATATGGAGACACTGCAGAATCATAAGCAGACCATTGAAGAAGTAGTAGCCGAAGAAAGGCGGGTAGACGGTCACTGGGTAAACCCATGTCCAGTAAATTATCCTGAAACACAGAGTGAAGTTACAGATGTTTCATTTTTATTAATTTTATACCTTTATTTACCCATATTTTCCATTTAAGAGCAGCATTTTAAAGTCTAACAGTTGATTAAGAGGTGTGCTCTAGGAAGGATATTTAATTTGTGGACAAGTTTTCACAAAAATTAAATAATAAAAGATGAAATAAAAGTGTTTTTGTATACCAGAAGGGGAAGATAATGAGGCGGGTGACGATGAAGACAGCAGCAAAAACGATGAAGATGTAGTTACAGGCGTTTCGCCAACCAGCATAGTTGAACATCTTAGCAGACTGTTAAAGGAAAACAAAATGATTTACAAACAAATTGATAATGCAGCGTACTGTGCTGTGAAACAGAGGATTATTGCTCATCTCTTTGCCTTAGCTTAAATGTACATTTCTACCACAAGGTGGCAGTGTATATTTGGTATGTTTCCCTCAGATAAACCTGTGAGGCACATAAAAAGCCTGAGGTGGTTGATGCAAATAAAATTAGCACAAACGGTGTGAATATACAAATCAATACAGTTCCTGTTTATTATCAGGCTTCGAAGGTCTGTTCAATTTCATCTCTGGTTCTTTCCCAGACACACATTTCTAAATGTTTCTGTGCATTAAATTAAAAACATCCAAGTCTTATTTTCTGCATGTTCACAAAACACTCACTTTCAGTCTGGTTATAAGAAGGGGCTGTTCCTAGACTGTCTTAGATCATATCTGGTATAAACATCTAAAGATTTAAACCCGATTGAATCATGCAACAGTATGTATTAGGTTTTCACCTTATTTTTGTTTATGAATGCTGTTAAAATACAAAGGAGTGTTAATGTTTTTGACATGGAAAACTGAAAAAGTTAATAATCACATGTTAGGCTTAAAAACCTGGTTTCAAAGAATCTAAAGGCAAATAAACCCCACAGAAACTTTGGAGTCCATATTTGATTTTTCAATAAAGGCGTTATTTATCATTGACCTCTCCAATTAACAACACACTTGTTAATCTGAACAAAAAGATGTGACTGTGATTTGACAATTCATAGGTTAATCTAATCATCTAAAGATAAAGGTGAGGCTGGGGAGCATGATCTGCTCAATAACAATCAGCAGCAACACCCCTCCAGGGTTGCCTTCTCTCCCCATTCTTGATTATCATAATCCTTGAAAAAAAAAAAAGAAAAAAGGAAAACTTACTTTTGAAAAGTAGGTAATTTATTTTAATTAATGAAATGAAGGTAGAAATATGTTTACACATTTACCTCGAGAAAGTAATCAGAGGAGTCGTGAACCAGCATGATGAGAGTTCCAGCACGAATGTAATTCACACACCAGGAGAAACTGATGAGAAGGATGGTTGCAACATGGTGAATGATGTGCTCCTTAAAGTCCTAAAGAGAAGATGGGAAATAATTTGAATGAGTTATGAAAGGGGAAAACATTTAAATGTGAGTTGCATGTAAAAATGTTCTGCGGGTGCCATAGGTTCATAAGTTTGGAGCTAAATGCTTAAGAGCATCCAAGGTTAGATGTTTGTGTTAAGAGAAAACACGCTGGTCTTCTTTTGCAAGACTTTTGTTTCTCTGCTATGCACAGCTGAGCAGGCAGACCAAAGTCCAGCAAAAACACACGCAGAGAAACACACGTGTAACAACAGTCTAATGTCCACCCACCGTCCACAGATGTGTCTGGACATAATGTAATAGCAGCATAGGAAGACAAATCACATGATATGCTGCGATGAATTAAAACATGATACAGATCTGACTTAAAGGACAATGTTTCCACAAATCCGGCTATGGATCTCACAGAAATCAAATTAATAATCGTAAAGATCGTACACACTAATTTAGCAAACACACGAAACAAGAAAAAAAGCAAAAAACACCTTTAAGTCTATGAAAACCATTTATTGGTAAAGCAGTTTGTGTCAACACTATTCTTGTTTATTTATTAACAAAGCCTGTCCACTAGATTGTTAGCTGGGGTCACACGTTTCTGTCACTCTTAAGGGCTGCTTAGACTCCGGCAGCAGTGTGTCGCAGTGAGCTAGTCGCAGGTATGACGCAAATATTTTTGATTTATGTCCAATTTTGAAGCGGAGTCTGACCTATGTTATTCCACGCCACAACGCAAGGTCTAGATACGGTCGAGGCAGTGAGGAAGTGGAAAAACGCAAGTGGCAAGTTTGTGCGACATAGGAGGGACACAAGGGCGAAAAAGTGTGGGAATCCAGGTGGAGAACGGTTCCTCGCCCCCTATAGGCGGTCCACGATACTGCAGCCCTAAAGTTGGGAATTCCGCAAACAAAAATGGTGGTGCCCATATACCCTCTAACATTGCCTGAATAGCGATCTCCACCCAAATTTCAATGCGAGCAAGGGTCTCAGCATCATCCCAGGTCGCACCATAATCTTTTGATGCCATTTATTCTTAATAGGCTGAGAAGAAGTTTGTGTTGTGAACAAGTGAAGAGATCTGTCAATTGCAAAGCAGGACACGTCAAAAAACCTGCAAAATGAGTCAGCAGATTGTAAATGGTAGATGACACGGTTTGCTCAAGCGCTCTTTGTAATCAGAGAACCGAGCCACGACTGAACTGTGCCGAGCATTAATGAACTAGTACTGATTTAGCGTGGTTCAGTTGTGGCTGGCACGGTCCAGTTCAGTTGCGTCCCATTTACACTGAACAGTTATCTTTGTTACCATGCTCGGAGCTTCCTCGGCACAGTTTAAAAAGGGTAGTTTAAATGGGGTATTAGTGCTCAAATGTTTGCTAAAACTCTGCAGAAATACAGCGTTTCTTTCTGTTGCTAAGTTTGTCATTGAAGAAGAGAAATTAGCCAGAGATAAATTTACTCACTTTACGTTTGACATCCGAAGCCACGCTGAGAAGCAGGGAGCCATAAAAGCCCAGCTCGATCATGTAGTACCAATACTGAGATGGCAGCAGAGTCTGAAGGAGAGAAATCTCTTTAATCATCAAAATCGACAGACTGATGGGGTTAAGCCACACTCTCAGCATCTATTATAAACACATATGCATATATCAAACAAAACAAAAAAAACTAAGAAAAATATGTGCTAAAGGTTTCTGGATTGAGGTGGGAATATAACTATAATTGAGGAAGGGATATGCATCCAACTTTTGCATGATTTTCATTACACTCTTAATTGAAACTAAATATTGTTGCATTTATTGATTAAAATGATAGGTGTTTTTCATGTTAAAATATGTAGTGAATAGGAATAAAACAAATGAGCCCTTTTATAGGCCTGAACAGGGCCGACAAAGAAAAAACTATCAGCTTGATTATATGATTGATTAGTAAGTCTCTAACATTGTCAGTTACAATTATCTGCATTGTATTTAAAGAAACTGGTTTTTAATTGTGAGAAAATTTTAAAAGTCAACAATTCAAATTGAATGGTTTGTTGAGGTTGGACTGACATCCAGTTACTAAAAGAACAAAATTAGCTGGTTTCCAGATTCAGAACACAAGTTAGGCATTTAAGCACTTTAAATGGCTTTAATTAACTGGGATCTAGGGTGAATTTTACACAAAAAGTCAGACAAAAAAGTTAACAGACAGTGCTATGAATAAGTGTTTTTCCTTTCCATATTCCTTTTGTTTTTGTATCAATGAAAAGTTTCAGACCAGTAAATGAATTTTTATATCACACACAAAAAATCATAAATACAAAAATCAGTGCTGATGGAGAACAACACGGCCATCTGGAACTCACTTGCTGACATTACACCTATCTGGTTAAAGAAAGTGCACCATTTCAACAGTAAAACATGGTGGTGGCTGTGAGATGGTCTGGGGCTCTTTTAAAACTTCCTGTAATTGATATAACTCTAAATTGTATGAAAAAAAAATACTTCAGTTAAATAACTTGTGCTTTGAGACAAGATAATGACCGTAACAGCATGCTAAGTCCAGCACTGAATGGGCAAAATGAACATAAATGAGAGCTTTGGAGTGACCAAGTTAAAGTCCGAACCTTAAGCCACCTGAGTTTAAAGTTTAAGCCGGCCAGCGAAGCTTGAGATCCTGTGCATGAGGCTACTCTGAACTGATTCCAGAAAGAGATAAAGGCCAAAATTACTGCATAGCGATCTAACACACTGTTCTCATTATTGCAGATGCTGATGATAGGTTGTCAGGTTAAAGGGACAATTACTGTTTTATACAATCACAGATTAGTTTGGATAATTTATTGCTTAAATAAATTACATCTTCAATTTTTACATCTTTTAATTTTTGTGTGAAATAGAAACTTGTTTATTGATCCGAGACTTTTTTTGCAGAACGGAAATGTTAACTACAGCAGAAACCTTATAGAGATGTATTATTATTATTATGACTTTATTTCACCAAATAATTTATAGTTTTATAACTATTTTACACTAATTTTGCATTTCTGTTTAATAGTTTTAAGTCAGAAAAGAAAGCCTTTTAACCATTTAACTTAAATATCAAAAACAGATATAGACACACATTGATATACGGTATATACCTGGATATACTGTATATATATATATATATATATATATATATATATATATATATATATATATATATATATTGTTTATTCTTCTTAATGCACCTTTTTCCTCCTTGTTTGCACCTTCTTTTATTACCATGCCAATATGTGACAAGTGAATTTCTCTGCTGTGAGATCAATAAAGCTCATCTAATCTAATCTAATCTAATCTAACATATCAGGGATTGGCTAGAGCAAAGTCGAATTAATTGGAATCAGCATTGTCTTTAAAAATCCTGTACTGGTAATAAACTCATGTATTTCTAGCACTTATCCTCCTGGAGACGTACCAGCACAGGAAAGCCTTGCCACATTTCCTTCGTGTCATACAGCCAAGGTTTCTGGAAGGAGAAACGGGTCAGGATAATGAGACAGCAGAAATCGGCAGGTTTATTTATATCCACTGACTCAGCAAAGAGTCAGTGCTTCATCACTGCAGAGAGAGATGAGGTTATCAGAGCAAAAACAGCAGACAGATACAGAAATGCCCAAGTTTACAGCAAAGGGGCAGATGACAGATGACTGTGTCTGAGTTTATATGAAGAGGAGAGGAGGAGAGGGTGGGGCTAATATGGTGGTACTCACATCAATAAGGGAGGCCAGGCCAGCAATGAAAGCAAGAAGGTAAAAGGTAAATCTCCAACTGCAAGAGAACAAACAAAAACACACAAAGATACACACAAACTTTCTTTTTAGTCAATTAGAAAAAGATGTTTGACAAATCATCTACCAGCAGATGCATAAATACTTTCCACACATGGAAAAATGTGATGAAATACAGGACATCACTAATGTTGAACCATGACATGTGAGCAAACAAGGTTGGAAAAAAGCTGATGGATAGGGAAAAAATAATTAGAGAGATGGCTAATATCCGGTTTCAGAAAAGGGAAAAAGGTCACTGCTCTTTTCTCTCTCACACAGGTGTGGGGAGAACGTTTCTAACTGAACACTGCAGAGCCGCTAAAACCCAGCGAGAAAAAGACAGTGAGAGAGTAATGATATACGCCAGCTGAGGGAAGGAAGAGAGACAGAAATCCTTTTGTGTGCACGCAGACAAAAGGTTGATTGAGAGAAATTAATGTCCTTATGCCGCAGCCAACGCAGTGAAACGCATACCATAAACAGGCAGGGACAAACATCCAGTCTCGTGCACGCCTACACAGCACCACACACACATCATACCCAGCCTGAATACAACTACACATGCAAACACAAATACAGCTAAAGTGATGACAGAGTCCCTGGCACAGCTGAGGCAGAGTGGGAGCCATGCTCATAAGTGGAGATTCTGTGCTTGTGGAGAACAGGGCCTTATGGGTGAATGTTAAAAATAGAGGGCTGCTCTGGCACCCATAAAACGTGTTCATATTTGCCGGTCAGCTGAGGGTCAGCGGTTGACTGAATGAATAATTGCTTCCTCACTTTTTCCACCATTAATGATGGATACATTTGAAATAATGAGAACACATTAAATACGATATGTTGCAACAACCTGGCTGCATAGAATGGACACCCTTAAACACTGTATCGTTTTAGAGGAGCACTCAGTTTTCATTTGGCCTATCAACACGTAAAATCATGACTTGGTCATATCTGCCCACTCTGCTTTGGATAAAAATGGTGTTTGTGAGAAAACAGTTTATCCACAGTCTTTTTCTGTTGTCCCCAAATGTTTTCTTATCAGTTAAGTTCTTAGTCCAGATAATGAGAATACAGAGCTGTTTGGGTAAATCTGTTTTTTTTGTCAATGCTGTGGAATTTATTTTGTACTCTTACCCTGACATACACAATTTTTACAATGCATTTTTCCATTGTAAAAATCAATCAGCAAGAGTGAACTTGAGACTGAAAGCTGCTTTAGTAAAAGTGTTGGAGGTAGGGATGGGCAATATGGCTTTTAAATCTAATATCAGATTTTTTTCTTACCAAATCCAATGATTCAATTTTTTTCTTCTTCTCAAGCTTGATAATTAAAAATGACACATCCATTTGGGATTTGACCTTTTATTTAAAGGGCAACGAAAACTACACTTACATGTGCATAATTTCTCCAATCCAATCTAAACCTTGGTTGCTCAGAAATTCAGAATCATGGACACTAAATAAAATAATCTGATCCCAATGTGCGTGTACATGTAGCAAGCGCTCGATCAGATAAAATCATTTGAGAATGTGCAGCACTGTCTAGTTCTCCAGAAATGCTTTAGTTGTAGAAAAAGAAGCTCTCTGTTTTGTAGACAAACCCATACTTGTCTGATCATCCTCAACTTTAGCTACTCTATGTGCCTGAACCTCACAGTTCTTTTTCTTCCGATTCTCAGTCGAGTCTGTTGATGTAGTTTTTTCCCACTATGGACTTTCATCGTATTATACTTTTGTATTTGGGGGTCATTTTAGTAAAGCTATGGGTGAGCAGGACGGCATGTTCATTATTACACTTAGAGGCACCTCCTTCACCAGGAGTCAGTGGATGAAGATAAAAACCTCAGGCTGATGTTGCACACATGCACAGAGGAAATGTTTTTACTCCAAAGATTTGAATAGTTGTGTTTATGGATGCCAATCGGCATGGCGTTCGCACAAAAAAACTCCCAACCCTTTCAATCGAAATTAAATTACTTTCCAATCGGACTAGAATCTTCACCCTGACATATTTACACAATACATTTTTGATCTGATGAGTCCTTCAACCCATTTATTTGTGTCTGTATAAACGTATCTAAGGTTTCAACAAGCTAAATGATAGCAGCTGGTGGTGTTACACATTCAGCTAGTTTATTGCCTTCCATGCAGTTTATTTCCACATGTTCGTAGTTAATTAAACAACACAAGCTTTTTGTTTTAAAGACTAACCATAGGCAAACACTGTAATTATACCAAAAAGGGAAGAAGAATTCTTGATAAAAATGAATGACCGGTGGCTCCAGTTGATTATCGTATCCAGCTGCTTACAGTGGGCCTTTACATCTTCTATATTTTTTAAGACTCCCTTTTCAATTTTGGGAATACATTTAACTATTCCAATGTCTAAATACTTGGTTTGAATTGCTTTTCACCCAATAACAACCTTTACCTTTTTACAAGATGTATTTTTTTTTTTTGTGTGTGTGCTATGCCTTCCTCATCTAAATACAGGTAAAGTTGACAGAGACAAGTCGGGATCACTGACTGCTCATTTGCAAATGAGCGTCTAAGAATGATTGACAGGCAGCCACGCACCCATTCTATAGATGTGTTAAATTTTAAATTAAAAAAAAGTAAAGAAAAACTTTTATAGGAAGTGTGAATCTTAAAGTGAGTGTGCGCTCATGTATTCACCTGGCCTCTCGAAACTTTTTGAGCAAACTTGGTCGGTCCTGGTTCCTCCTCCTTCTGAACCAGCGCTGCACTTGTCTTTCTGAGTAGCCAGTCTGCTTACAAAGACCCGCTACTGAATGCTGAATCAACAAAGAGCGGTTCCATTATTAGTCTGTCCTGCACTGCAGATCATACAGTGCTGAGAGTCTTCAGATTTACCTGTGTGGGGTTTTTGGTCACTTTACAGTAGTAAGACTCCAGGAAGGGGTTGTGAGGGGCTTTGAGTCGAACCGTCTCCTTCACACCGAGTAGAGAAGCCAGAGGTGTGGCCACTGTTCTGAATTAAAAAGAGTTTAAACATTAGGAAGATTTTCAGAAAATAAAAGAAATGAATTGGAACTAATGGAAATGATCCGGCATCTTGACCCTCACTTGGATGAAAAATAAAGGCATTGTTCACGTCTACATAAACATCTGGTAATCGCAGAAAAGAAAGAAGTCGAAAATATTTTCCTTCTTATTTGACTTAACTAAAAGAGAACCATGACGTTTTGTTTTCTTTTCTATGAAAATCTGTGACTTTTTCACTGTAAAATCTTCCAAAACCTAAAGCAACAGGATGGAAAAAATAAATTAAATACCTGCTAGGCGAGTCATCAAACAGAGGTCACTGTCAACTAGTTGTCCCTCCTAAAACATAATCTTTTATGACTTAAAGGGATAGTTCGGGATTTTTGACATGAATCTGTATGGCATCCCCATCACCAGTGTCATGCAATCACACTGACTTACCCCTGGCAGCATCCTGTGAGCAGAGTTCTCGTCCAGCTTTGGTCAAGCCGAAAGTAGTCCGGCAGGTTTGCTAGACCCAGCGAAATAAAACGTTTCTCTTCCTAAAACATTATGTGTTCAAAAGAGTGATATTTTTGCATCCCAAAAACATTGTAGTGGAAAAAGTCACACGTCGTTATCACTTGGTCCTATTTTCTCTCTGTTCGTATCAGTGCGCGCGACACCATGACCTGACAGCTAGGGCCTACCTGTTTGATTCGCGATTGTTTACTACTGGGGAAGATGTCTGACTACGAGAGCGACGAGGAAAACATCGACTTCCACTTAGAGCCAAAAGGATATCTTTATGAACCCGAGTACACTGACGATGAACTTCGACAAATGGAGTTAGATCGGGCAGAAAGAGAGAGGGTGGACAGAGAAGTGATGGAAGCTGAAGCCGGAGCCGCAGGATACAGAACCTTTCCATTGATGAGGATGTCGGAGTTGCAGCAGCTGCTGTCTGCATCACAAACAACAGCGACTTCCCTGCCCTCCTCAAATGTCTAATGAACTTGGTTAGCTCTAAAGCTAGCTCGGTGGCGTTGCTTGTAAACGCAGCTGCTAAGTTAGCACTGAAATGAGCTGGAAAAGTTGAGCTCGCTGTCAGAATGACGGCGCGCACTGATACGAACAGAGAGAAAATAGGACCAAGTGATAACGACGTGTGACTTTTTCCACTACAATGTTTTTGGGATGCAAAATTGTCACTCTTTTGAACACATAATGTTTTGGAAAGAGAAACGTTTTATTTCGCTGGGTCTAGCAAACCTGCCGGACTACTTTCGGCTTGACCAAAGCTGGACCAGAACTCTGCTCACAGGATGCTGCCAGGGGTAAGTCAGTGTGATTGCATGACACTGGTGATGGGGATGCCATACAGATTCATGTCAAAAATCCCGAACTATCCCTTTAATAAATAATGGCTCTACCACATTGTTATGTTAAATCATAACACTTTAATGCTTGAACCTCTTTTGCTCTCAATATTACCTAGATGAAAGTTTTAAACAAAAAACTGAAAGAACTACCGTATAAGGATTCATGAAAAGTAAATATCTTGTGTCTTCTTCTAGTATATTCATCTATATTCTTTTCCATTCTGACCCAGATTTGCAATAAAATTCAACCAATGCCAACATATTTTGTTCTTAATTGTTTGCGCATCCTGTCTGACCAGGTTTTAAATCAGCGTATATTCCCTAAACTTTGGGATATACAGGTGCTGGTCATAAAATTAGAATATCATGAAAAAGTAGATTGATGTCAGTAATTCCATTTAAAAAGTGAAACTTGTATATTATATTCATACATTACATACAAACTCATATATTTCAGATGTTTATTTTGTTTAGTTTTGATGATTACAAATGACAACAAATGAAAATCTCAAATTCATCATATCAGAAAATTAGAATATTGTGAAAAGGTTCAAAATTGATGGCCCCTGGTGCCACACTCTAATCAGCTAATTAACTCAAACCACCTGCAAAAGCCTTTAAATGGTCTTTCAGTCTAGTTCTATAGGCTACACAATCATGGGGAAGACTGCTGACTTGACAGTTGTCCAAAAGACGACCATCGACACCTTGCACAAGGAGGGCAAGACACAAAAGGTCATCGCTAAAGAGGCTGGCTGTTCACAGAGCTCAGTGTCCAAGCACATTAATAGAGAGGCGAAGGGAAGGAAAAGATGTGGTCGAAAAAAGTGTACAAGCAAGAGAGATAACCGCACCCTGGAGAGGATTGTGAAACAAAACCCATTCAAAAATGTGGGGGAGATTCACAAAGAGTGGACTGCAGCTGGAGTGAGTGCTTCAAGAACCACCACACACAGACGTATGAAAGACATGGGTTTCTGCTGTCGCATTCCTTGTGTCAAGCCACTCTTGAACCACAGACAGCGTCAGAAGCGTCTAAAGAGAAACAGGACTGGACTGCTGGTGAGTGGTCCAAAGTCATGTTCTCTGATGAAAGTAAATTTTGCATTTCCTTTGGAAATCAAGGTCCCAGAGTCTGGAGGAAAAGAAGAGAGGCACTTCATCCACGTTGCTTGAAGTCCAGTGTAAAGTTTCCACAGTCAGTGATGGTTTGGGGTGCCATGTCATCTGCTGGTGTTGGTCCATTGTGTTTTCTGAGGTCCAGGGTCAACGCAGCCACATACCAGGAAGTTTTAGAGCACTTCATGCTTCCTGCAGCTGACCAACTTTTTGGAGATGCAGATTTCATTTTCCAACAGGACTTGGCACCTGCACACAGTGCCAAAGCTACCAGTACCTGGTTGAAGGACCATGGTATCCCTGTTCTTAATTGGCCAGCAAACTCTCCTGACCTTAACCCCATAGAAAATCTATGGGGTATTGTGAAGAAGAAGATGCAATACACCAGACCCAACAATTCAGAAGAGCTAAAAGCCACTATTAGAGCAACCTGGGCTATCATAACACCTGAGCAGTGCCACAGACTGATCGACTCCATGCCACGCCGCATTGCTGCAGTAATACAGGCCAAAGGAGGCCCAACTAAATACTGAGTGCTGTACATGCTCATACTTTTCATGTTCATACTTTTCAGTTGGCCAACATTTCTATAAATCCTTTGTTTTTATTGGTCTTCAGTAATATTCTAATTTTCTGATATGATGTATTTGAGATTTTCATTTGTTGTCAATTGTAATCATCAAAATTAAACAAAATAAACATCTGAAATATATGAGTTTGTATGTAATGTATGAATATAATATACAAGTTTCACTTTTTAAATGGAATTACTGAAATCAATCTACTTTTTCATGATATTCTAATTTTATGACCAGCACCTGTATGTAAATAAAATAGTCAAACTAGGCAGAACTAAGAGATGCTTTCTTAAAATCATTATAAACTCAATACAAAACAGGTTATGTTTGGGAACGAAAATGTCCATATTTTATATCATGAAAACTATAGGCAGTGGTTTTAATCATCCTTGTAGGTGTATCTAAATATTATGGCTGTCTTGTTTGCTCTACGTGTCCTACAACCATTTTCTAACAATATCTGTTACAGAAGGTGAAGAGGAGGGTAAAATATGTTAAATATAAAGACAATAATATGCAATGTTGACTAGTAGGGGGAGACTAGTAGTAGCCTTGGCTGTAGATAGAAGAGGAAATAGTTGACAAAGAAAGTAAAGGACAAAGCAGGTGAAAGGTAAAACCACCAAAAAAAGAAGAAAGATGTGTTGACACGAAGAAGGCAAATGTTTAAATTGAACAAAAAGTAGAGGGTCCCAGGTAGGCCACAGGACAGAGTGAACAATGTCCTGACCTCTCAAAGATTTGCCGGATAATGAGGAATACCAGCGCAATGGGAAGCGCCGCCCATAAATCACGGCCCTTGGCGTATACTCGTCCATCTCGATCCTCCAGGTCAGCCCAGCCCAGACCCTCGGGGAACCACAGCCGCTCCTGCCAGAACCATTCGCTCAGCTCCGACAGCATCCTGAAGCACGCCTCGCAGAGCTCAGCACCCCCTTTGTCGATTTATCAGCCTGTATAAAAATAAAATAAAATAAAAAAAGTCAACATAGCCATAAATAGTAACTGTAACCTTTCCACCTCCAGTTCAATCTGCATTTTGCAGCCAAATTAATCTGTTTGAAGGACATCCACTGTTCTAATCTAAATCTATGACTATTCAACCCTCACTGGAAGCACGTATTCCTTAAGTGCATAACGGATCTCTGGCAGCATGCTGAAACAAATGGAGGTCCACATGTTTTTCATTCACACCTTTACGACAAACTCACAAGTAGCTACTTCTTTCTCAGAAGTAATGGTGAGCATATCCACTGCTGAGTTGGGGGAGTGGTAGAGAGTAAGAGGATGACTGCAAAGAAAGAAGAGCCATCTCTGGGATTTGAGTCATAATTCATTCATATGAGAGGGGCGGGGCTGGCATGCCTCTATCATTCGCATACAGCAACTCCTGCAAATGCCAAAGGCATGTACCCGCCTCACTCCCACTCCAGTCCCCACCCTGCTGCTACCCATTATCAAGGATTCCCTCTTTGACTCACAGAGGCAGACATTTTCCTCTCATTCTCATCACCCAATATTGCAGAAAAGGGTTGAATGTTAAATAAATGCATAGCAGGAATGAAACTTTGAAGATAGTAATTCGACATAAACAACAAATAGACAATCAGTGCTTTAAAATTTTAACTAAACCAAGAAACAAAAGAATTTACAGTAAAAATATTCTCTCCTGATTCCAGTTCCACACTGAGGGATTGAAATGACAGCGTTGCAGATTTCCCTAAATCAACCACCTTTTATTTGGAGAAAGTTTAATAGCATATTTTTGGTAAATTTGTCCAACTTTGTGGGCATTTTTCTAGTCTTAAAATGTGACCTGAAAAACACATCCTGGTCGACAGCATTGCAACCCAATAAAAGAATACAGGAGCGGTGTGTTGTAGCTGGAGATACAAACAGCTTCATTAAAAGGTGTTACAGATGAGCGGGTCGGATTTAGTCGTCACAGCTTCTCTGTCCTGTTGATAGAGGGCTTCACCTTGTTTTCCTCGAACACAGCTACTTATTTTCCTCCTATGTTTTGCCAGCTGTTCCACTTCGGAGGCTTCAGATCTAGCTTTGGTGAAGATCCGTGCCAGGCCATGCAGGCTTAGCTGAATAATGAGATTGTGTGTGTTCATTAAGCCACACAAAAAGGTCTTGTAGCCAAATCAGAATTGGATACGTAAATGAGCAGTCCAAAGGGCAGGTGGAACTGTGTTTGCAATTCAAAAATGATTTTCATAAAAACAACAGACTATAAACTTCTACTAAGCAAATAAGGAATAAAATTAGGTTTAACAACCTGGACAAACGCACCAAAAAGCAGGCAAGGGGGTCGAAAAAATATGCAAAAAACCCAAAGAAATCTTTAAAATTTCGCTTAGTCCAGGAGGGTTATTTTTGCAGACTCCAGTTTGGGGAATATTTTTAGAGCTGCTTGTTTAGGTCATCCAGTGAAATTCAGCATGTTTAAGCTGTTTTTTCCCCCACTGCTTTCAAAAATCCTCATGCCATTGGCCAAACAGATCACATGATGACACTCTGACCATTTCAAAGGCCCAATAAAAGCTACGAATGCCTTCAACAGGGGGAGTGAGCAAAGTAGATCTCTTTTTCTTTCTCTCTCTCCCTGACAGACTTGCTCTTCTACATTATTCATATACATGGTGAGCACAGAGCGACTGGAAACATTGCTCTTAATTCAAGCTGTCAGAAAATCACCCCCGGTCTTCCTGAATCCTGGGTTTACAACCATATTCAGATTCTAAAAAAGAAAAAGCATCAAACAGGGGTTAGTATCCAAGAGGATCGTGGCACAGAGCCTATGAGTATTTGGGGAATGCAAACACACTGCCACCATCCATTCTAGACGCCATTCACTCTCACTGCTTGGTAAAATCTTTTTCACAAAAACGATCATCGGAGGCTGGAAACTGAGCTGGCCAGGGGAACCATAAGTCATAAGACTAAAAATGTGCTCTGACTATGAGTCATTAGGACCATACCATCCGTTTATCCACCCATTTACTCACAACCAACTGTATTTCGGATGCTCACACTGCAAGCTGAATCATTCAAACCACAGGATTTGGCAAGTATTATAAGAAAACGGTACAGACAGCTGCAGAGTGCTGTCGAGTTTATGAATCCAAAATCAGAAATGACACTTTAACTAAGAGATTAATACAAAGCAAGTTTTAAGGACTGCAAAGTTGTCTGGAAACTAAATCATATCGAATGACCAAAACAACAACAAACAAAAAACAAGACAACTTTTCCAATATTGACAATGACTAAAACAGATTACACCATGTCTTCAGATCCATCCCATTTGCAAGGATTATCCCCAATGATGTATTGAAAAAATATACTGACAGAACACAAAACTGCTTTGAATGAAGTTGATTCAAAATAACTGACTTTGAATAAGTATACAAATCATCAAATTTTCATGTAGTAAAAGCATGCTTTGTTAGACTGCAAATAAGGTATGTCAATCCCTTGAATAATTAGAACACACATTTTGACACCAGAATACATTTATAAATAAACTAGTATGAGTGTTTAGTTTTTGCTTTTGATTGCTAAATAGAAATACTACATTTCATTTAGCTTTTTAGAAAAAAAAACCGTGACATGCAATACATCAAACCCTAAAACAGAAGTTATAAAGTGTTTGATCATCATAATTTCTTAAGAATTAACGATTTAGTCATGAAAAATAAAACCTTTCAACAGGTAAAACTAGATATTTTTGTGTTTGTTGAGCTGTTAAAAATATGTTTAACTAGGACAAGCTTGGGGGCTTTGCAAGTTTAAGTTTGACCCTTAAAAAAAAGGCTTTTCTTCCCCCTTCTCTGGATAAACAACCGGGACATCCTACCCCTTAGATAAGCAGCTTTAGGGATGAAGAATGAGTACCAAGGGGTGAAAGAGGATTTTTAGATTAAGATATTTTGTTTCAGCAAACGAATGTTTTATAATTTGTTATAAAAAAAAACCTTTAGCATACAGATTCTTCGCAATGTAAAGTAGTTTATCCTAAAAATGATAAGTGGGTGATTAAAAACTTGGTCCAGAATTATGAATATGGGTCTTATTTTTTTATGCAATGCATATTACTGTCAAGTGTTTTTAAAGTTTATTTATATCCGTTTATGTTCTTCTGTTGTTGCTTTTACTTTATAAATTGGTGCTTGTGTTTTATTGTATTATGTCTGGTTCCTTTCCTGTGTTCTTCTTAATGTACCGCTGCTCATTTCTCTCTCCCTTCCTCCCCTATTCTTTTTCCTAATTTTCCTCAGCTGGCATCGATTTCTCACCTGATTGTTCTCATCTGTTCACCTTTCCTGTCCTTCTCCCGGTACTTAAACTGTTTTTTCATATATCTTCAATTAATTGTTTACTTCTTCTCTCCATGAAAGGTTTATTTTCTGTAAGTACATCATTTACTTTGTTAAATCCTTCAATGGACTATATGGCCAACTCCACCACTTCTTCCTCTTCTTCTTGTTGTTTTACTGGCGTCTTGCAACCAAATGGAGCATTATCGCCACCTACTTGATCTTATTTATGTTTCCTTAAATCCTTAGATTTAGTCCAGTTTTTTGAAGATAAGATGACATGATTTTAAGTACTGTCTTTCTGGATTTATTTGAGAAGATATTTTTACTCCACCACTTCAGCCTGCTCCTTTGCTTCTTGTCCTTCATTGATGGACAAACTGATTAATCCAGGTGTGTCAGGCCATTGTCGTTATGGTTACTGATGTCAGACACACCTGGATTAATCAGTTTGTCCAGTAATGAAAAACAAGAAACAGGCGCTGGTTGAAGTTCAGGAAGTTGGGGATTTAAGATTTATAAGAAATAAAAAAAATCATAATAATGTTAGCCTTCAAAGTAAAAAAACAAACAAAGGATTTTTTTTTAGCTATTTTGCGACTGATAATGGAGGTACTTATACCCAACTATCAAGAGAAGTAAAGTGATACTTGACCCACATATCGGTAGAAAAATGTTGTCCCACGAGTATGAATTGAGGTGGGAATAGACAGGAAAAAAAAGCGTGGTTTTAAAATGAATGTGCACATTTTCTGAGGGCTTTCTATAACAAACCCTGCATTTAAAACCAAAGTTAATGGTAATATTGCACAGTATTTAGTATCTTTGAATGATACAAGAGAAACTGAGCGGTTACTCTAAAAGCTATAATATCCATAATACTTTCAATCAGGATAGAGATGGTAATTTCAAAGCTTTTACAATCTGATGTTTGTGATAACTGTGATGGCAGCAAAATAGGCTGGACAGAGAACAGAGCTCATTGCTGCACATGGTTGTCAGCACTAACTCAGGTCATGCGTTAAGCATTTCCTAGCAAGGATAAATGAAGAATACTCATCCCTCACATTTTTGGCATTCTTTGGGGAAAGGAACTTTGACGGCACGGCTAATATTTGTTATAAAAATAAAATAAATTGTGCTTTTTTGCATGTAAAACATAATTCTGTAAATGAAAGACTGTGTTTAATCATCTCAAAGCAAACAGCTTATTGAGCTGTTTCTAGTCTGCTGTGTTGGAGGTAGAGATCAGAAGACAGTTACTGATCTGTGGCACTCATTAATTATTGATGCTGGAAGTCAGTCAGTTAGCATGTTGCTATGAATAGGCCTGTCTGGGACGTGTGGGATATTGCAATGTTAAATGGTTCACCTCAGTTGATGCAAGCCAAGATTGGGTTTCTTTGGGTGATTAGGTCTGCCTCTGATTGGTTGTTCATTTAATGGTGAGGACCAAACTCTATCAGGTTCGACTGAAGTACTGATTACTCACTACTGAAAACAATCAAAGACAGAAGATGTAATCATGGAGTGTGGTTAAATGCACACAGAAATGCGATTATAGTGTTATCCCGTGGTGATCTGATCTCTGAAATGATCCTTTCAACAACAAAATGCGAAAAAGTAAAATCAGAGGATGTTTGATTAACACACATTAGATTACCATGGCTAGATTTCGCCCCGGTACTCTGATTTCCATCTGCACATAAAAAAAATTTTCTCTGATCGCTTTTGCCAGTTCAAAATCTGGGCGACCAAAGAAAAAGGCAAAGAAAGTCCCACAGTCTTTCCCTGAGCAGGAGAATAAGAAAAAACCAACAGTCATAGCAAGCACTGCAGGATTGAAAGGGGCCTTTTTGACAGAAGTAAACATAAACAGATAATTTTTAAAAGTCTTATGTAAAATACCAGCCATTTGTCTACTTTTATATTTACTGAAAACAACACAGCAGTAGCATTGGACATCTAGACAAACATTTCTTCAAAATCACATTTCTGAAGTGGATGCAAATGGATCAGTTCTGATAGAGCAGTTATTAACTGTTTCCCAGTTATCAGATTTCCAACAAGCATGTAAACTAGGTACTCCTCAACAGCAACTACCATTCTGTAACTTTTAGATGCATCTCTTCTATATGCCTTAATCTAAAGGCTCAATCCCTGCATTTAGCTCAGCAGAGACTTGGTAACGAGCCACTCATTTGATTCATGTGTGTTAGAAATGTGGTGTATTAAAAAGTTGCAGGATAATAGCTCTTGAGGACTGCATATGATCACCCCTGATGTAAACATTGTCAATTGAGGGACAGATGTTAAAGTTAAGCTTCTTAAACTTGCGTTAAAGTATTTAAATACAGTGATGAGTGATCTTGACTTGAATGTAACATTTCAGTCAGTAGCAATTTTTCTATGGAGCTGGATCGGTCTCCATTTTCACAAATACAGACGTTATTCATACATACACAGGAAAAGATCCACACATGCCCAGCACGATTCACACAGCCACAAAAAAAATAAAAATCTGCACACACAAAGGACAAGATCCTCAGACGCACAGAATGATTCATGCAAGCACACAAGATCCATACATGCACAGAGCAAGATTTACCATAGTATTTCTGGTCCATAAACAATTAGAAATTTAATTGCAAAGTACCATTAGTCTTTAAACTTCACTGCATTTGTGTGTGGATTTTTGAGAATGCCCTGATGTGCTTCAATACACAAATGCATTTTTTTAAACAGGTGATGGTTTGCCACCAATCACAAAGCACCCTTGTAAAAGCCAATTACAAGAAAGTACGCCAGGCGTCTTCTTTATTAATAATTTACTAGCACATTATCTCATATCACTAAGCAAATTGGGCTAAATGAATAAACCACAAAGTGATGGTAAAGCTAATTTAGGCACACTATAAAGACTTTCTACTCTGAATGCTAGTTTTTACATTTCTTCTCTCTGCCTTTTCAATTTCAAATGTGATTTTTAAAGACATAACATTTACAGATGCTTTTGTGCAACTCATGTTTTGATTATTTAATGAATGGAACCAAAAATCTACTTATCATTTAAACACCATAAAAAAAAAAAAAAAACACGCTAATGTTTCTACTCTGCTGCAGTTTGACTCTGATAATCCCAAACTGCATCACAATCACCGTCCAGTGAGCGACCAAACAGATGACATTTGACTGATCCTCTCCACTTTCCTCTCTGGAACAAAAATGGCAACCACATAGAAGAAAGACGTTTGTTTTTCTACTTCCATATCTCACCTGTATTTTGTGCCAGCGCCCTTAAACACTATTTATAACTGGGTTAGGGATGGGGGTGAATTCCTGTCCGTAGAGATCTTATATCAGGTACAGCAACTATATAAACTCTGAATTCACAGTATTTTAATTTTAACACTTCATTAAGAGTGAGGCGTTTACTGTATTTCTTTAGTAGCGTTTCCCCTCTGGAATTAACTGGAAAGTCAAAAATCATATAGTATTCATTAGATGTTGGAGTAAGTTTATACTTTAACCATTATAAACCTGTCTGGGAAGCTAAAACCGTTCTGTCATACACTCAAGTGTTTTGATGAGCTTGAATGCCATGGAAACAGGCATATTCACAGCTCTGAAGAGCATGGAGTGATACAATAACATCCCTTATAATGTTTATAGCACTGAAAACAACAACAAAAAATAAATAAAAAATAAAAAATAAACCCCCAAAGCCAGACTTATTAGTTGCGATATTTTTTTTCGGGGATTGAAGGACTATTTCCAGCGTGTTAGAATATATGGCTAAATGCTGTTTCTGTTTGCCGTTTAGTCATGCAACTGCACCATCTAAACACTGGTGTACCAAAGTTGCCTGTATGATTAAATAAACATTTTTTTTACAGCAGCATAGAATGCAGAGCGACTAAATGAAAGACATTAAAAGAAACAAAAATGTTTTTAGAGAGATTTTTTCTTTTTTGAAATTATGTGTTTTAATATTATTTAAAAAAATAGAAATTCTTAAATTGGTGGTTGTTACAGATGTAACTAAATTCATATACGAGATAATTAAACAAAAATGATTGCCAGTTTTTTTTAAAAGTCAGGTTATATTTTTCAGCTCTAAGCAACACTTACTTGGCCGGACTCAATACAAAATAGCTCTTTGGATATGAATGGATGCAGACTACTGTCCTAGGGCTAAATTAAAACCAATTTTTTAAGAGCTACCAAAAAACCTCTTAGGAACATTCTCCACTTCATCCTTTAACATTAATTTCTCTCTCTTCATGTTAAATTGAAAACAGCTGGTCTCCTTCCCTAAAATGGTGCCTTCTAATCTAATTTTTACTTAATTATATAATATCAATAAACATGAGACGACGTTGAAGAATTTGTGGATTTAATGCTTGAATCAGTGATCAGTAATATTGGGCTGGGAAGACATTGATTCTGGTGATTGGCTACCAAAATCCTGATCAGTGCATCTCTAGTAACCCATTGGTCAATGATAAATGGATCAAATCTGCTTACACCCACTATTGTAGGCTCTTTTTCTGAATAAAATTCTCTGATCAATTTTTCCACAAAATAAAATAGGTAATAAAAGCATTTCTGATTTGTGCCGATTCTGTATTGGACCAATGTCTTGTTTTTCCCCCCAGCTTTTATTGTCATTACACTGTCACAAGGACAGAGCAAAGAAATGAACTCTCGGCATTTAAACCATCCCCTTGGAAGCAGTGGGCTGCCATTGTGCGGCGCCCAGGGAGCCTCAGAGATCCAGAGTGGCAGTCAGTGGGAGTGGGGCTCGAACTCAGATCCTCAGGATTCCAGGCTCTATGCACTAACCACTAGGCAACCACTCCCCTGTATCAACTAATATACTCAAAGCTGAAGTAACAGTATTGTGTCAGATATGAAAAAGTATCAGGACATCAATGCTATGTATGTTGCACTCATAAAGTGAAGGGAAAGAAATAATCAGCCTTAGTCACATGACTTAAGACTTAGAGTCCTGCTAATGTTGTCACCATTATACTCAGGCGTGTTCAAATAGACACATCTATAAAGGTGGAGGACAACTAACCTCAAAGATTATCATAGTGAGAAAATGTCACATTAGGTCTTCCCTAATGTGGATTTTAAAAATGAAAATAAAAAGTACAAATAAACACGTTAATACAGCTTCCTGATTAGTCGACTTTATGATGCCACCAGAGGTGCAAGATTGGTTTTGAAAGAGACAGAAGTTTGAATCTTACTTTGATGCAGAAAACCAAACGATAAAGGAAAAATATTCCACCAAAAATTGGATGACAAACTATATCCTGAGTGATCTTTGCTCATTTTTAAGATAAATCTGGAGAGGAGCTTCACTTTTTGTGGGGAGTAGTTGAGGTCTGCCTAATAAAAAACTACAATAACTTTAAAAGGTATAGTGAATCTAAGCACTATTTGTGACAAAAAAACAACATCAGATGTCAATAGTTCATAAAATTGTACTGGTATTGTTGTGGTGGCTACTGGTAAGGAAACTTTGTTAGCACAGATCAGCTACGCTACAAGCTAGCATCACTTCCCAGCAATAAACAGACAAGGATATGAACTTTTAGCTCCCATCTAAACACTTTTACCCATGTCTTCGAATGTTGTAATAACAAAAAAAAGTAAAAACACAAAAATAAACCCCGCTATGTTGCATTAGCGGATTCCTGCATGGAAGCGTAATGACGTCTATAGAGAAACAGGATGCAGACCGTACGTCTGCCGCAGCACTCAAAAAAACTGCTAACTGTTTGCCGACATGAAAATGAAACAGTACTTACTTTGGTTCGTTTTGTTTTTTTGTTTTGTTAAGAAGCGTGGAAATTTGGCCTTTTACGGGAAAAAACTGTTTTTAATGTCCTTTCCCTCTGCGTAGACCAGGTTGTTGTTATCTGGATGTAAACCTAACGGTCCCGTCGTGTGTGCCCTGCCCGCTCAGAAGGGTTCAGCTGCTCCAGATCCGGACTAGTTTTAACGGACTAAGAAGTCAGTTTTTCCCCTCTCAGGACTGTGGGAAAAAAATTAGAGAGCCAATATTTGGGGTGCTCCGATAAAACTAGTCGGGTTTTCGTCCAACAAATGTTAAGGCTCCTTCTTTCTCTCGCCGGGTCCCTGTTAATGTCAGCCCCTCTCTGTGTGCAGTCCGCTGGGTCTACATGGGCTATGGCCCGGACAGATGTGCGGGTCGGGCCTGCTGGAGAGAGAACGGACTGAGGGGATCCGGGCACAGGAGGGAGAGAGAGGGGGGTGACGGAGAGGGAGGGGCTAGAGACATGATGGGAGGGGCGCAGATTACGCCGGAGCAAATTGCTTTATGAATTTTATTTCAGATTAAAATAGGGGAAAAAAGTCTGAAATCTGAGAAAAAAGTGAGAATTCTGACTGAAAATCAGTTAACTTAATTTTTTCAGTAGCCCTAATTCTTTCGTAGTTCCGAGCTATCATTTGATTTTATGCTATTTTTATGTTTACTTTATTAATAATTTATTTAAGTAAACACTTTACCGTGTACACAATATAAAGCTGTCTAAGTCTAATATATATATATATATATATATATATATATATATATATATATATATATATATATATATATATATATATATATATATATATATATATTTAAAGATAGATAGATAGATAGAACCCTTTATTGGGCACTAAGTGAAATACTTATTTCCTGCCAATAGTGTTATTGGAATCCAGGATACCTTATTGCCTTTGTAACGTAAAAAAAATATGGATATTTTACAAAAATTAATATCAATGTAATAAGAAGAAACGCCAACTTGCCTGAATATATCAAGAAAAATAACAAGAAAAACACTCCGAGATTAAAAGAAACACATTTTTTATTTTTTTTGGTACAACATAACCTTAGTGGCATCAATGCTGATACTGGTAAATACATTTTTAGTTTATAAGCCTAAATATAATTGTTAACTAGGGTTATTAACTTTTTAACTTTGCTTTTTAACTTTTCAATTAGGTTTTTACCTTTTTTTCTTGACTTGTAAAGTTTTTTTTTTTTTCAACTTAATTTACAGTAGGTAATTTATAATTCAAGGGCTCATCTAATTGGTTGAATGCCAAAAATAAGATGTACAGCCATGTAGCAATATCTTTGCTGAATGGCTGAATATAGATCTTGTGCTTCTAGACCTCACTGAGGAACGGGGGTTGGGGGGAACTCCATATAAAATAGAGTCCTTTATGTTTTTTTTATTAAAAAAATAACTTTTTAACGTGTATATCTGCACATCTTAGCTTTTTCTGACGTACAGCTTTTTTGGATGTACAACTTTTCATTTCCCTCCACACTAATTTTTACTTTATGCTTTTACTTCGTTTTATTTTTTTTAAAATATGTATTCCCACCCAAAGGAATACCCAAACATTTTATTTTAGTACAGGCTTACAATACTGCCATTATAGGTTTTTCAGTAGAAAAGTGACAACAACCGTGCTCATGTAATACAAATAACAGAATCAACATATATTTTGGTGCAAAGTCAATTCTTTTATATGCATTTTAATGTTGTATTTCCGGAATCTTGATGTTTATTAGATTTAAATACGTGGAATCAATTTGTTTTGCACAAGGGATAAAAAGAAAATGCTATCCAAATAAAATTAATTTGAATGGTGTGTTTTTAATTTAAATTTTATCCTTCATCAAATTTTCACTGTTCCAATTTAATTACTTCCCTATTTTCTTTGAAAAATATGACAATGTATTAATACAATGCATAAAAAAATGTTTGTCATTGCAGATCAATATCATTTGAGGTTTGGGTTCCCTTTTTTTCCAGCTCAGGCTCTTTTCCCTGTGACCTGTTTGACCTATAACTAAAGAACATTAAGGTGGATTCAAAGAACACAATGACCTGAGTTATACATTAATCTGTAACATGTAAAAAACATTCTTAAATAGTTGCATCCGGTTCAGCAGGACAAGCTGAGTAGGGCTTCGGTTACATCTATCTATGCTGTTATTTGAAGCACCTTACACTGCAAATACAGATGATTAGGAACAAATATTAATATAAAGTCTACTCGCATTTTTTAATGTTAGGCAGTATTGCAACATACCATAACCTGATGTCTCATAGATTTATTTTTTTACTTTTTAATAAACTAAACTTGTGTCACTGAAAAAGATTAAACTATATGCACTAGGTTAATAAAATTAGATTGTATTATTACTGTCATTAATGATGCTTGTGCACACTTATGAGGATGTTTGTGATAAGTTAATGTAGGGAAATAAACGGTAAACTCTGTGGGAGAGGGTAATCCACTTCAATCTTGTACTCGGCGATAACGCAAATAAAGTGTTTAATTTTGCTGATAAACAGCAAAACTCATAAATGAGTTCAGGAGATAAGACCCAACCTTTTCTTTTAGGAATGCGTTCAAAGCACGCCCCCTACTGGTATCAAGTTTCAACCGCAGCCGAACCCCCCCCCCCCCCCCCCCCCCCCCACCCCCCCCCCTTCACAAAACACAACAGCACATTCAATAATAATAAAATAATAATGACAGGAAGCTATTTAGTATGATACCTTTTATTTTTAACTTAAAAAGAGTGGATCAAAAACAGGATTCAATAAATATGAAATAAATATAATTGCTGTAATAGTTAATAGATACAATATAGTTACTCGATTGTAAGAGTCTGACAGAAACAGGCTCTGAAAAGTTTTTCTCTAGAAAATCCTAAAACCAAAATATTGCATTCCCACTCAAACGGTTTCTCCCCATAAACAAAATAATTGTTAAATTAGTAAATAAATAAATTAAAAAATAGCTCAATTATTAAAACCTCCCGAGTAAAAGTGCACCCCCCCCTCCCTCCCTTCTCCCCACGTTTCACCTAAAATCTAAGTAAAAATTTAAAATAGGTTTGTGATTTTTTCCCCCCCCATTTTACAATTTGGAATGTAATAGCTTTTTCATGAAGAATGATGATGTCACTAGTTGTATTAATAATAAGAATAATAATGATAATAATAATAATTATGTCGCAGTGTTCTGTTCAGTGTTTTTATCTAAAGTAGTTTTCTTTTTGCACGTTTTCTTTTTTTTTTTATGCTGTTCTTTGTAAACTAACTATATACAGCTCATTCAGATCCTTTCCAAACTCTTTCTAACCTACTCATTTAGCCATCTTTTTTTTTAATTTTCTTTCTTTTTTTATTATGAAACATCAATCCCTCTATATTTGTCACGTAGTTAGACATGTTAAGAGTCTGTTGAACTGATATATCAGCATTTTTTATCGGTGCCTTTCCTACACGTGGTCTGAGTTCTCTTAGTTGTACTAAACATCCTTTTCCATACACGCTATGGTCATACCAAGCTGTGGGGTGTATGGATACGTAACCTGTGTGAACTGTGTGTTCTGACTGAGTGTTAGCAGGCGTCTGTTTGCTTTGTGCATTTTATATACATTTCAGCATTGAGGTTCAAAATTAAGAGTACTGTGGTGTATATTAGTGTCTGTGTGTGTTAGTTGTGTGTTGTATGTCTCGTAGCACTCCACAGACGATCACAGGTAGAAGACAGTCTGAAAGCACAATGAACCCTGGGACTTCACCTTCAGCTGGACTCTTAGTCACCTGTGAGGGGAGTTTGAGGGTAGAGGGAGTGGCAAAGGGACAAGAGAAACAGAAACAAATAACAGTTTGTTAAGATTTGTAGAGGAACTAGAGCTTTGTGAGGGTTTGTGAGCTCCACATTTTGTCAAACATGCCCCATCCATCAAACAAGACTCCTGTTTGAGCATAACTGGAGCAATTTTCACACTTACTGCTCCTCTCTGTAATTTTTTTCCCCTTTTATTTTGGTTTCAGTCTGCGAGCATAATTGACGGTTGCAAACGTTTTTTTTTTAACAGTAGCGAATCATGGTGCTTTTAATGTATTCACATACTGTATAGTGTCTCTGTAGATCATGCAGTGAAATACGGTAAGCCGTCGATGTTTCCTAGTGTGACTGTATGGTATCAAAAGAAATCATGTGTGTTTGGGTGTGTGTTTTGTTCATAAAACTCTGAGCACTCGCATTTCAGCAACTGCTGCACCAGGTTTCCCCTGGATCATGGCAAGCAAACACTACTACCAACATGCATCACTCTCTGGCATTAGCAGTATAGAAATTCTGGGTGACAATTTAATCATAAAATAAGATCCGACTTAAGTTTTACACATTTTAACTGTTATCCATCTCTATATATTAATTTACTGAAGCTTTTAGTTCCTTAACTATACAGTGCCTTATCAAAGTATTAATAATAATAATTGAACTTTATTGATATTATTATTGATCTTACATTGGAGAAATGTATTTCTGCATAACCCATTCACTCGGGGAGCAGTGGTTTGCCATCGTGGGGCGCCCAGGGAGCAGTGTGAGATTAAGGGTCTTTGCTCAGAGATCCAGAGTGGCAGTCTGCGGGACTCACGATTCCAATCTATGCCCTAACCACTAGGCTGCCACTCCCCCTATTATCAACACAGTTTTCAAATTTCCTAATACAATAGCCACAATCTTCCTCATATTTTATCTGGAGTTTGTCTGAAAAACCATCGCAAAGATACTTACATTTGTTTTTGCATCCTTGCAATTTTTTTTTTTAACCACACATGGGTGTTTGTATGTAGATTAAAAAGAGCAGTTTTGATTTTGTCTGACCAAAGCAGCTTTGTTTATATGTTTATTCTGTCCCCACAAGTTTTGAGCCAAAGTGAACAGAACTTGTGGCTTCCTTTTAAATATGATTTTTTTTCTTGCAATGCATCGGCAGAAGGCAGGAAAATACTTGTACCAGTAATCTGTATCTATTTCTGGCTTTTTAGTTGTTTGATACTTTTTTTTTCTTCATTTCCAGCTCATGAATTGAAAAATGGTCTATGAGAATCCCAAAGATTTGGATATTTTTTTATAACCCTTCTTCAAACTTTTCTTTGATTTGTCTGGTGTGTTCATTTTGATGCTGTCTTTATAGAACAACTGGAAATTATATTACACACTAGTGGACTCAGTTAACTAATAAGAACATGGCGAAGCCTCACTCTGGATCCATTTAGTGGTATCAGAGGGAACTCCAGTTGAATCAAAACGCATCCAGCACTTTTAGGATTTTTAATAGTAAATATGTTTTATAAACTATATTTTACGTTGGATCAACATCATAATTAAACACAATTTGGTGATAGCCCACTAAAATATATTGATGTTTGTTGTTGCAGTTTGGTAAAACTTGTAAAACCTCTGAGGGTATAATTACTTTGACAGGGCACTGTATGTTATATCTAGTACAGAAAAAGTGAAAATCTTTTATTTATGTGCAGCCTTTTGATGTTGCCTCTACACTCCAGTCTGATCGAAATTAAGATGGATTTTTTTTCTTTAGTCTTGTTTTTTTCTCTCCCAGAATTCCTATATTTGATGGCTATAGGCACGTATTCTTCCATGACAACCACATACCCATCACCTCAAAACAAGCTAGAAGAAACAGTCTAAAGAGATTGGGATGAAAAAAGCAGATCCACATTTGAGAGAGACGGAAAAAGGTGAGAAGATAAAATAGAACAAAGGAGAGAGTCGAGAGAGAGTAAAGGCTACAAAAGCAGTGATATAAAAGACATAAAAAAGTCTAAAAGAGAAATGGAGGAGCAAAAAAAAAAAAAAAAAGTGTAGCTTCACATTATAAGAGAGTCACAATCCAAGATAATGAAGTCAGCCTATCAGAGTACAGCTCAACAATATGCATGCTCGCCCATGAATAGAGTGCATCAAAGACATGACTTGGTCTAACCCTTCTTGCCTGTATATCCCATGCCTTAGATCAGTTTGCAGCCACATTCTTTGTTTTTTTTGCATACCATAAACATGTCAAGTCTTCTTGTCCACCATGGCCTGCCATTTTATGCTGCAACATCCTAAAACATATATGTTTTGCCCCAGCAGAGCATAAACCCTGTGCTTGTCTCCACCTGTGCGTTATAAAAAACAAAACAATGGACACCTCATTGCAGATGGCAATGCAGCGAAGATTATTCTGTCCTGCATTACACACTAACAGTGTAACACAGAAACATATGCACACACAGATGTCCACGCTCACTATTTTACCCCAACCATTTGTTCAAATAATAATGACACCAAACAGAACACTACAGAAACTGATCAAAAACAAAGCTGCAAAAAGAATAACAAGCTTTGCTACAGAATTTATCAGATTACGATAAAAGTGATTAAGTATATCAAATATCCAATCAGATCGGTTGAATCAGTGTGCAGTCCTGGCTTATAGAGAGTTATTGATCAGTATGTGCACAGGTCAATACAAAATAAAGTCACAATGCACCAAACACAGTCTGTGATCACTACAGCAACAGGACATGCAGGTCAACGCATGGCTGGTTGCTCGAGGTGACAGAACCAACACAGGCAATAAAATCGCCACAGCAACCCAAACACAGGCCAACCAATCAACTTACAACAATGTGAGAGGAAGGGGGGATCAGGGCTTTATCGGTCACTAGGCAACCATTGCCATAGCGATGGGGTCCTCGTGAATTATGATTTGACGGGAGGATCTTGGGTGAGGTAAGTTGCCGTTTCGGGAAAGATCAAAACAGCAGGGAAGAAATAAGATTGTGAAAGAAAATAAATAAAAAAGGAAAACAATATCTCATCATCTTTACTTTCCTGCTTTTAGGAGTTACCCAATACATATTTACTGCAATGTCAAGCTTCTCCTGTTATAAATTTACCAACGGTTAGCTTTGTTCTGCAATTATTTTGTTCCTGAAGTATACTGCACTTTTATTTCTCCGTTTATTGCCTCACTACCTCCTCACCTCTCTATTTGTTCTTCCTCTTCTCCATTGTTGCTCAGTATGGTCGGTTGGCGTCTTTGGGCCTTTTGAGCTGCACTTTGAGTCTTTTCATTCCGATCTGAAAGCCATTCATTGCCTGGATAGCGGCCTGTGCGCTGGCAGGGTTGTCAAAACTCACAAATCCTAAAAAGAGATAGATAACATCCATCAGGGTGTTATTTTTCTCTTACCTTGCTTTAGATGCAGACTATGACAGTATCTTATCTTTCAGAAGGTGATCCTTTAGTGTTTTTTTCCCCCCTACTTGTCCTTTCCTTGCTCTACTAAACACGCCCGCTCCCTTCCCTCCCCGCTTCTCTCCTCATGCGTGTCTCACCGAAACATTTGCTCTGGTTGGTGGCTCGGTCCACAAACACTTTAGCCGATATGACATTGCCAAAGGGCAGGAACATCTGCAGCATCTCAGAGTCACTGAACTCTTGTGGCAGGTGGTAGATGAAGATGTTACACCCTTCTGGACCTGACTCAGACACACACATAGGACAGACACTCATAAATTGCCGTATTTTTTTAAAAACCCTTGTAGTAAACAAATTAAAACAAGCTCACTGTACAATGGGGCGTGGCCCCACTTAGACAGGAAGTCACATCACCTTCTCTTTGCTGCTGTTGCTGGGGCTGCTGGTGTTGCTGAGCAACCAGTGTTGGCTGCTGGGGAAACGGCTGCCCAACCAATCCGTAAGCAGCAGGGTACGCCGCTATTGGAAGAGAGGCAGGGATATTAACATCTGATTGGGTAACAACAACAGGTGGCAACATAACAGCGTCCAATGGAAAGATTTCCTTTGAACTGAAGGGTTTCCTGTTGAAGGTGAAATCTATTAACTTCAACAGCTAAAGCTATGGAACAAAGACACAGATCCCAGTCTGGTTTCTCACACATTGCATCACCACTTTAATCCATGGTTATAAACATGGAGTATAAGTGGAGTCTCTGTGAAGTTGAACAGTGAAATCAATTACCCTTGAAAATGTTTCACCCTTGACAGCCGGACTAAAGAGATATTGCTTGAATGTTCTTCATTTAATCTTCTGTATGAACTGATGCTTTGCACAGATGAGTGCATTACTTCATGTGCATGACTAGATTTTCAACAACAACATCCATCTATCCATCCATTGTCTGCACACACTCACTTATCCTTGTAAGGTCATGGTCGTTGGGGGGTGTTGGTCTTGGTTTTGATGCCTATCATCAGCAATCAATACCAAGTACCATAAGGTGAGCAGTCTTGCACACAGTCATAGTACTGCAAATGACGGCCAATTAACTCAACTGTATTATTTTTTTTAGCATGATGTAAAAAGCCAGAGTAACTGGATACAACCCACCAGGGAGGAAAATACTAACTCCAAACCCAGATAAAGCAGGAGGAATGCTAACACCATAATTTTTTCAGCTGTTGATGGGGCTGCTGGTGTTGATAAGCAACTAGTGTTTGCTGCCGGGGAAATGGTTTCTCTTCAAATCTGGAATAAACATCCAGAAATCTGTAAAAAAAAAAGCTGAAATTCTCAGATTTAAATCGAAATTAAAAATTTATTTGTTTAGAGACTTAGACTACCATTATAGGTCAAGGCTGCACTTTAAAAAAAAAATTTGTCTGGAGAGCTGTTCTTAACGAAATTTCTTTTGGTTTACATAAATTTGTGTACACAAAATAAATCTGTCTAAGTCTAATAAAAAAAAAAAAAAAAAAAAAAAAAAAAATATATATATATATATATATATATATATATATATATTAGTGCTGTCAAAATTATCGCGTTATTATCGCGTTAACGCGAGGCCATTTTAACGGCGATAATTTTTTTAACGTGAGATTAACGCTATGTGGTTTTATGGTACAATTTTCCAAGTACATCCCGTTGCAGCCTGCGGAAAGGCGGGGCTATTTTCCCACAGTCTATGCATTTCTCATAGGCTTCGAGAGCGGAGCTTCTCAAGGGAAAAAGACGCTCATACACTGGGTGACGCTAGTGCCTTTTCTTTAAGCCCCACCACCAACAAACAAGTTGAGTGTCTGGTAACTAGTAGCAACCTGAAATACGCTGAGAAAACAGATTACTGAGGTGAAATGGAATCTGCTACGGCACTTTTGCTGTCTGTGTACGCCACAGGTCGGTATCGTGTGTGTGTGTGTGTGTGGGTGGGTGTGTCTGTGGGTGTGTGTGTGTGTGGGTGTGTGTGTTCTCATTTTTGTTAAGAGGCTGAAAAGTAACTTTCTAGAGCATAGACTACCTCCATCTAGTGATGTCGGTCTATTGATTTTGATGTATTGATTGAAAATTGTTCATTATTACCTTGGTTAATTGACATCTAATGTTAACTGTACTACATTTTATAGCAGTAGGGTAAAATGGTTGTCTTTGTTCAAAAGACTGTATTAACTGTAAAGACTGTCTTTTACATCAGCCTGTTTTCAGGGCCTTTTTTTTGGCTACATATTTGTTATTTTTTGCTACATGGCTCCCCATCTTCTTGCCATATGTTTCTATGGCATAAATCAGTATCTGTGACCTGTTTTCATTTTAAAAAAAGAACATTGGCACAAACCTAGCCTGTATGTATTTTTTGTATGTCATCGAGAGTATTTAAATGATTTTCAATCAGAAAAAAAATTTGCGATTAAAATGCGATTAATCGCGAGTTAACTCAGGCATTGATGCGATTAATCGCGATTAAAAAAATTTTATCGATTGACAGCACTAATATATATATATATATATATATATATATATATATATATATATATATATATATATATATATATATATATACTGTTCTTTGTTCCCCTCATAAACAGATGTTTATGTTGTTTAAGTTGTTAAGTTGTTTTGCCACTGAAATGCTCTATAAATAAACTTTCCTTGTCTAAGGGTCATGACTAAAGAACCAACAAGATTTAGTTAGGGCGAATTATATGAATTGAAAAGTAATTGAATCATATGTAATCAAACTGCTTTGAAAATGTTTTTTTTTTTTTTTTTTTTTGGTGTTATGACTGAATAGAAGTAAATTCCCACAAACCTGTGTAGTGCTGCATGCCTGCATAGGCTTGCTGAAGAGGATCCAGAGCTGCAGCTGGACTCTGGGCTGATACAAAAAAACAATAAAAGCCGTTGGTATTAAAAATCCAAGCAACATGATGATCTGTAGATCTATAAAGGCTTCTGATTTTTCTCAGCTACCTTGGTATGGGTGAACCCCATTGGTATACAGTGCTTCTGTTTGCTGTCCATTGGTGGGGGCTGGCACACTGCTGTAACCATTTACTCCCATTGGTGGGGGGATAGCTGTCACAGGTGTCGCTGCTATAGTTGGTGGAGTGTTTGTACCTGCAGACATGGATTTTACCAAAACAAAAGCATCATAAATCCCAGATCATGAGTTGTACATAATCTTAGCATTTCATTTTCTCAGCCACTGCAGATTTACAGTTTTACATGCAGCAACACCGACCCTATCTATAATCAGGAAAAGAGTTAAACCATAGTCTAAATTTTCTATATTCTGTCTAATAAAAACTGTCCACAAGACAGACCCCCAGCCTCTCCACTTTAACTCAAAGTGTTTTTTAGGAACGAAGAGCGTGCATGAGGGGGTTACCCGAGGACGGTGTAATGGGTGTAATGGGTGTTGCGATGATTCCGTTGGCATTGAGTGCCGCCATCTGCTGCATCTGTACTGCAGCAACTGTTGCTACAGGAGACAAGTACGCTGACTGGGCGACCAGGGCCTGCTGTTGGACAAGCTGTGGACGAGGGAGAGAGGGGAACAAGAAGAACAGGGTTAAATTGATATGGGAAAAAGAGGAAGAAAAAAGGATGAAAAATGGGAGGAAAGGCCAGGCAGAGGGAGTGATGGAGGAACAGATGAATAGAGATCTAATTACAGGGCCATTATGTCCCAAGTCAGTGGGTTAATGGTTGTGTGTTGCGGGAAGGCTAATGCCAGATGACGTACATTCTGTTGTCTGTGTAATAACATTAGCTTCAATTAGACCACTGATAGCCTCTACAAACTTATTACATCCTTTCATAAGCACAGCACTGCCCTTGCAAACTCGGTGTGTAGCAAATGTCAGTGTCATACAGTGGGCCGTCGTGTCTTTGAGCTTGCCTGTGCGTTGACCGCCTGCGTGTAGGCATTGTAGGCAGGAAAGTTAAGGGTCATGGGGCTGAAGATGCCGAGCTGAGAGGCCACTTGCTGCATCCTCCTCAGCCCCCGCTCCTTCTCCGTGTCGGCAAACTTCACCACCAGACTGGACGATGCTCCCTGTGGGCGCGGACACATAGAAAATGAATCACGCCGCTTCTTGAATTTGCTCTCCGGACATATGTAAACTTTAAAATGTGAAATTTTACATGACAGACCAACTTAAAGGAAACATCATAATCTATGTTTTGGTTTTCAGTAATAATCACAAAAAAGTGAGACACAGATCTGTACTCAGTCCCAGTAGAGCTAAAACTAGAGCTAACATTGCTTTGACCTAATTAGAGAACAGCTTCCACAGGTTTATGATTTACTCTTATTAATTAACTGTCCTGAAAAAGGCTATGGTTTTTGTTTTAGTGAACAAACAGCATCACTGAAACGAAATATAGTTCACCTCAGGGAAGCATGGTGGTGGCAACATCATGCTGTGGTGATAACCTTTCTTTAGCAGGCAATTTAGTTTATTGAATCTAACTGAGCTTGACCTACAATACGAAAACATACGGGGTAAAAAAACAAAAACCTTGTCTTCAGTAGTACAAAGGTCGTAGATCCTATAACGACTCAGCTTTAATTGCAATAACATATCTAACAACGTATTCATTCGAGGAGCTGAATGTAAATCAGTGAAACAATTTTCTGTAAAACCCTTTAAAATAGTGAAAATCCATCAAACTCACAATTATGTTTTATGTCTGTATCACATAAATCTGCAATTAAATACAACTAGGTTGGCTGTAATTTATTTGACGAAATAAAAAAAAAACTTTTACAAGGGCTGCATTTGGTAGTTTTTACTTAAGAAAATGATACATCAATGTGTGCATGTGGTCGGATTATTTCAAAAGAAAACTTTTAAAGTATTTGTAATTCTAAGGTTGAGGCTTACAGGCATTGTACGGCTCCCGTGCAAGCTGTTGATTGCTGCTTGGGCTTCGGCATGTCCCTGGAACTTAACAAAAGCACACCCTGCACACACCCCCACCCAAAAAAAAAAAACAGTTATTGAATTAATTATAGACAATTCAGCTGATAAAATTTTTTGTAAAATATGTTCATTTCTTTGAGTATTTTCACTCCATGCAATTTACCTTTGCTGGTTCCATCTGGTCCTCTTAAAACAGTGCACTCCTCTATGCTGCCAAAGGGCTCAAACAGCCTTCTGACATCTTCATCACTCTGCTGCTTCCCAAGCATGCCCACAAACAGCTTTCTGTCCTCTGAGACAATAGGGATGAGCAAAATAAAGGAAAACAAAAGACATAAAATCAGTTTATTTGCCCCCCAGGCTGATAACATTGAACATGTCATTTCTCTATTTTTGCTGTCCACCAGGGAGCAGTGTTGACTACTGAGGCTGGCAATTAAGAGGATGGAGGTAGGAGTGTGATCTGAATGAGTGTGTACAATACTAGTAAGGGTAAAACAGCCCCTCGCTGACTACTGTCTGAGTTAGTCCAATCCAGCATGACAACTTCTAACAACAATAAAGATCTTATTATTTTGAACACATCTCAAAATTTCCCACATAAAAAAACCCCCCTAAAATATAAACATACAATGTTTGAGAACATAGTAAGGGGTTAGGGGAGGCATTTTGAAAAGGTTTCCACACAAAAGAAGAAAGATAACTCACCTCCTCGTCCTTCACTGTCAGCCGGTTTGACCTGGATTGGGCGATTCATCTGAAGGACAAGCAAAAGATAACATCAGCAAAGCTGGTCAACATTTACATTTCTTTCAATTACACTGACTTCAGGTTCAGTACACATATATAACAGTCTTGTGAGAAAGAAAAAAGTCCAGTGAGAATTTCTATTAGAAATCAAACTCTTTAATCAGCTGTTTTACTCAAACTGAGTTATGATGGCAGGTTCTTTGTAAGACAGTCATCAAAATAGAAAACAATAAAATCCTATGCCTCCAAAAATTAAATGAAGTGCCTATTAATTACAAAAAGGTGGAAGGTCAACTTCTTTATATGATGGTAAGGTTGGTCGAAGGGATGCACTCATCAGGCTTTTACTGGCTGATGCAGACTGCAAATTATTTTTGAAGTTTGAAACAATACCATGAAAAAAATGTGGTGTATGTTCTTGTAATTGAATTACAAAAAAAAATCTTCAAAATAGATTCTGTTAGTTAAAGACTCGATAGTGCAGGGTCTCCTTTCTGATGCATTTACTGATCAGGAAGTCACATCACATCACAGGTCAGAACTGATGGAGGAAAAACTGGCCAATTCTAATGTGATAAATCGCATCATTTCAACTTCTTAAAAAATACACAACAGCTTAGTCAGATATATTTTGTTAGAAATTCAGCCTTTTTAAGTAAAGCCTTTGTTTCAATTAATTCTACAAGAATAGAAAACTATTAAAATATTAACACTAAAAATAAATTAAAGTAGTTAAACAATTTTCTACTTTAAAATGCTCCTTATTTTCTAAAGCAAATGTAGTTAAGATGCATTTTTGTTCATCTTAAAGGTAAGGCTTTGTCACATCGATCCACTAATCAGCCTGTTCCTGACTGACACTGAAAGAAATTATTACTAGAAAACTGACAGATATTAATGGTCCAATGATAGTTTTTAGTTTAACAAGAAGAAGGAATAACAGGATCATTCTCATTTGTTCCTCAAAATATGCCCCTAACATTTATTTGACCTTTATTGAATCTAGAAATGTGCTTCAAAGTAAATGCCATTAGCTGAGGGTTTTCTTGACTAAAAATGGAGGAAGTTTTTAATTTGGAACATTTAATAAATAGGCAAGAAGAAAATGGTTGAAAGTATTCGATCTCCTGATCAGGGGAAATAGATTAAATACTGATCTCTGGTGTTTCTCTGGTTAGCGGTGATATTTGCTTTTGGACTTCAACACAAACAGTCTTTGATTTGTCCCACATACACACACTCACAGAGTGAGGGGTTGAGAAGTGGCAAGATTAAGAATCCAGGCAAGCTGATCTGGATTATCAAAGAAGTGAGGATTAGATGAGGGACAAGAGTAGGCAGAGACACAGAGAAGAAGAGAGGCATGAAGGTGCAGGCGTGGGAGAGAGGGGGAGATAATGTTGTTCAGTGAAATGACAAATGTATACAGGGAACGGGCACAGTCAACTGAAAATAAAGGGATAGGACAAAAAACAAGTCAGACAGAGAAGCCTGGGGGACCCCAACTCACATCAACCACTAGAAAGGGCAGGTGGAAGGCTAAAAGGAACCCCGGGGAGTGAATAAAAAAAAAGAAGTATTACATGAAAAGTGAGAAAGCGAAAGGCTGAGAGTGGAAGGATGAAAGCAGAGCTTGCCCCTGAGAGAGGATTCAAAAAGAATAGAAAGAGAAAGAGGAGCAGGCAGGCTGACGGGGCGTGATTCAGTCGTGACTCGCTTGGTCTAAAAAAAACTCACGACTACCAAGATCCACTGCCAAGAGTGCTGATGCATTATCTTCAACCCACATTGCAAACATCCCTTCCATTCATATCTTCTGTACCTTTGGCTCACACAAATAGTAAGACACATGAAAAAAAAAGAAAACGATAAAAACAAAACACTGCACACACAGTGCTTAGTCATACCACTGAGGGAAGGAAAAAGGGTGGCAGAGTAATGGGTTTGAGGAACAGGGATGCAAAATGATGGCAGCTAAAAGAGGAAAGATGTGGAAAGAGGAAGAAGAAGCAAGATAAGGATCCAGAGGAGGAAGAGACATGACTGAACAGGGATGTTAGAGCAAAGAACTGTGGAACAGACTCTCCACAAGGTTTTTACAGTACTTTGTGTTTCTTTAAATACTTGAAAATGTTGCAAAGACCAAGTTATACTAATACGTAAAAGATGTTACCAACAAAAAATTGAAAAAATAAAAATGAATGAGTGTACACAGAATTTAAAATCAACTAAAAGAAGAAGAGATAGTAAGAGGTAGAGGGGGAGGGGGTGAGAAGGAGGAATGGCTAAATGTCCCAGTGGGGTGTTAAGGCAATGTAATGATGCTGGTAATTGAGGAGAGGGCAGAGAAGAAAAAAGACAGATCCATGCATTTGATTAATCAGCTCTTAGCTGTCACCACAACACTATCGATCCATCTGGGCCAAGGCCATCACAAACACACACATACTTCAACACACAGATGAAAACACAACTGCACACATTTCTCCATAAAACTGTCAAACACAAATTAGGAGAGAATGATTGATAGTTTTTGCTTCAACCTCTAAAGTTTCCATCCTTCCATCCATCTGTCCAATCATGCGTCCGTCCGTCCGTCCATCCATCCATCCATCCATCTGTCCAATCATGTGTCCGTCCGTCCGTCCATCCATCCATCCATCCATCCGTCCGTCCATCCATCCATCCATCCATCCATCCATCCATCCATCTGTCCAATCATGCGTCCGTCCGTCCAACCATCCATCCATCCGTCCATCCATCCATTCCTCATCCATCCATCCAATCATGCATCCGTCCGTCCATCCATCCATCCATCCATCTGTCCAATCATGCGTCCGTCCATCCATCCATTCATCTGTCCGTCCATCCATCCATCCATCTGTCCAATCATGCGTCCGTCCGTCCATCCATCCATCCATTCGTCCATCCATCCATCCCTCATCCATCCATCCCATCATGCATCCGTCCGTCCATCCATCCATCCATCCATCCATCCGTCCAATCATGCGTCCGTCCATCCATCCATTCATCTGTCCGTCCATCCATCCATCCATCCATCCATCCATCTGTCCAATCATGCGTCCGTCCGTCCATCCATCCATCCATCCATCCATCCCTCATCCATCCATCCAATCATGCATCCGTCCGTCCATCCATCCATCCATCCGTCCATCCATCCATCCCTCATCCATCCATCCAATCATGCATCCGTCCGTCCATCCATCCATCCATCCATCCATCCATCCATCCATCCATCCATCTGTCCAATCATGCGTCCATCCATCCATCCATCCATCCAATCATGCGTCCGTCCATCCATCCATCCATCCATCCGTCCATCCATCCATCTGTCCGTCCTTCCATCCATCCATCCATCCATCCGTCCAATCATGTGTCCGTCCATCCGTCCATCCATCCATCCATCCATCCATCCAATCATGCGTCCGTCCATCCATCCATCCATCCATCCGTCCATCCATCCATCTGTCCGTCCTTCCATCCATCCATCCATCCATCCATCCATCCATCCGTCCAATCATGTGTCCGTCCATCCGTCCATCCGTCCGTCCGTCCGTCCGTCCATCCATCCATCCATCCATCCATCCATCCATCCATCCATCCATCCATCCATCCATCCGTCCAATCATGCGTCCATCCATCCATCCATCCATCCATCCAATCATGCGTCCATCCATCCATCCATCCATCCATCCATCCATCCATCCATCCATCCATCCATCCATCCATCCATCCATCCATCCTCTCCAGGTCCCATGGATGGCCTGCCATCCATCAGTTCATTGATCACTCCCGTCTTGTACATTGATTGTGCTTCCTTTGTGAAGAGGGCTGATAGTTGCAAGATTTGTGTCCACCAACCTTCTCTCTAACCTTCGATCAATCCATCACCTCTTCAGGTTCTTCCCCCATTAAGCTTACTAAAGCTTGTCCTTGTGCAAGTGTAAGGCTAAACAGAACAGCCCCGGTGATTCCAATGGAATTACAGCATATTGATTTGTATATATAAATACACTGCCTTGGAAGAGCAGCCAGATCCTGCCCTTCCTGAAGAAACACATCCACACAGCATGATCCTACCTCCACCATCTTTGACCCTGTGGATAAGTTGTGGTCATGTCAATATGTATGAATGTTTTTCCAACAATCGCCTAATCAAATACAGCCAACAGTTGTTAATTTAATAAAATTAATTTAGTATAAATGGGCCTCTTTGTCAACCTAAACAGAACAAGTTCAGCAAGAAGTGCAGTGACAAAGAAATAGCAGTCCTGTTTCCATGTGTTTTTAGTTTTTGGCTGTAATGCTCCTTTTAATATCATAACAGACTAATCAGTGGTTTGTAAGCTGTTTAAAGCTGAGATATTGCTTCCTCGCCTAGTTTCACTTGAAACTTATTTGCAACTTTCCCCCTTGACCTCTCATGTGTGGGTTATTTGGTCTTTATTATGCTTTTTGTTTAGCAATGTTTCCTATCAGAGCTCAGCTGAGAGAAGAGTTGTTTTTTACATAAATGCACCAAAGAGTCTGAATGTAAAAAACTTCAATGGGGTGCATAAATCCTTTAGGGTTATGTGACTGTGTGTATGCTGACATTTAAATTTTAGGCATAATTTTTTTATTGATAAACTACCTTAAAAAAAAGCTAAGCAGAAGAAACTAAGGAGCTGAAGAGAAGCAGCAGGTGAGAAGGGCACACTGCCTCTTCAGAGACATCACAATGGGATCGGAAAATTCACATGGCAACCGGCTTGTTGTCATGGCAATCATATGACGGCAAACTGAGTAGGTAAACAAGGATGCTGGTTGCCAAGGGCGACTGCTGTGCTCTTTGGGTAAACGGAGAATTAGTGCCAGAAGATGGTTTGGTAGCTTTGAACTGTCCTCTAGATTATACCTCAAATAAAATTTCCTTTTAGAATACTAAAAAAAAAACAGGACTATGAGTACAAGTAAAAAATGCAAGAGAAGACATGTATTATGTAG